GCTCAATACTAAGTATAGAGCAAGTTTTTTTTATCTTGATATTATTACGCCGTGTGATAAGGCCACGCAATGACCTTTGACCCGGGAAAAACTTCATACTGATATGAAGATATTTGCTTTTTGCGTGTTTATATATATATAATATAGAGATACCATAAATGTATAAAAATTATGATCTTCAAAGTTATATTGAAAAATTAATCAAAGCGGTTTACCACGAGTTTAACGTATTGTGACAAACATTGTCAGAACCATTAGCCTAACTTGTGGGAAGTATTGTTACAATATCAATTTTTTCTTGCTCACTATAATACATAAACTATCAATTTCATTGTTATACTCGTACATACATAATATGTATTGAATTGTTCTTGCCAACTACATGTATCATTTACACATGAAACAAATGTAAAAAAGTTATTGAGTACATCTATTTTATCTTGAATTGAATAAAAAATAGATATTTTTCATATGAAGTATTTTCTCTCCAATTTATTTCCCTTGGCTGCCATCATGGTGGGCAACCTGGTAATTTTTCCTCTTCGTCCTTACAAATTCAAGAGGGAAATATTTTGGGGGAAAGCTTTATGCAAATAAAAATTATGAAATAAAGGAGGCTCTGATAAATGTATATTTTATAAAAACAATGCTTCCTACCCCACAATATTGTATAAAAAGTTTAAAGTTAGTTTGATAATGGAGGAATGTGGGGATGTTGACCTCCAATATGGCGGCCAATTGGAAATAACTCTTGTTAAAATGGGACTTCTGAATTTTTAGATGTTTATAAATTGTATTATGTTAGACGTGCTCTTATGCCTCAAGTGAGGCCTTGAGTGAAATAATATAAGTTTTAAAAAAAACTATCAATATTTGTACGACCATTATCTGTTGTAAATTGCAATGGTGAAATATCAGAGGCAATTTTTATTCAGAAAACATCGATATCCTTCAATATTTTCCAGTAAAGCTTTTGCTAGCCTCAGTAAAATGTTATTCTAGATTATTGTAACAATTTTCAATAAAATTTTGATTTTTCACATGGTTCAAATTCTTCCTCATTTGTTGAAGAATTACATGCCCAATAAGAGTGGTGTTTTTTGTTTATTTTTTCTTTTTTGAGTTTTGGTTTTTTCACATTGTTAGACTCATTTCTCACTTGTCTTTTTTTGTTCATTATCTCTTTATTTAAGGGCATACGCAGTGTAGTTTGAACTTTATTGGGTTCTTCCCTGGAGTTGAAGAGTTCCACTAAATGAAGGACCCGTGTGCAATACTTTTAATGTCTATATATGGATTTGTACACCTCTTCTAAAACAATTTTTGATGAAAAAAAAATCTGGAATTTATGTTTTGTAATTTTTGTAATTTTTCTTTGAATAGTGCAAAAATTTTCTAAATATCTTGAAAAATTATCAGTAGGTGAGGTACGTTGCGTATGTCCTTAAGTCTTTTTCTTATAATATGTACAAAGAGTTTGTACAATTCAGAATCAAAACAAAGTTTATCTATGGACCGTTTAATAGAGAAAAAGGATTAGAGAATTCAACGGAAAAAAATACAGTGACATACAAAAAATATCACTTACAAATCATACAGTGCTAAGTGAAATTATTAATATATTGTTGTGAAGTCTAAATTCATGGTTTCATAACCTTGCAAATATGAGATAATCACCTTTAATTAAATTTTCGTTTAATTAAATTAATCGAATTCACATTTTTACGAAATTATTGTTCATTGTTTGATTGAATTTAACATATTCCAATTTGAAGTTTTCATTTTTTTTTAAAGAAATGTTTATAAAATTTACACGGGCTATATAAAACGAGGAATTTAATATTAACTACTTTTATGTATTAAAAGATTGCAACTTACTTACATGTACTTCCTAGGTCCCTTTACTGAGTTCTTCCGACATAAAATAGGCCAGAGGTATATGAGGACAGATATTATTTATACATATACAGGCATATCTTAGGGTTAGCTCTTTTTACCTTTGGTAAGAGAGAAGAACTCACGCATGCGCATTTCATTTATTTCACTCACACCAACATCAGTGGTACATGAGGTACAATGTATAAATTAGTCGTCATAATTGTGAGAAAAATAATAAATATAATTATGATACAATAGCATAAATGAGAGGCATATACATATGTACATAGTATAGCAATAAACATACGATGAAAGAAGAAAAGAAAAAAAGGGTATGATAACATTTAAATTATGGAGGACAGACGGTGTCGTTTATTTTAGATATAAATATACAAAGGTTTTTTTAAAGATTTTAGATTTGTCGTTGACATAATTTCACAAAACTTTAGCGTATTTGGCGTTTTACAAACAGCCATCTCATTACGCAACAGCCATCTTTTGCATAGTTTGACGCCTGTCTACTTACATAATTATGCAATGGTTTGCAGCCCTAGCTCCCACCAAATAAATATCTATTTTAAATATACGATCTTTTTGTGCATATATGACATGGAAAAAAGAAAATTCCGGAGATTTTGCTGATCATAAAAAATCAGTGGGAAAATATGGTATTAATTTTTCTCTTTACAGTGTATATATTGTATTTCAATTTTGTGTTTAAAGTGGCATACAGGCCCGAAGAACAGAGTGTTGATTGTTATTTTATAAAGTTTGTAAACAAAAGAATTTATATATGCACACGTGTCACTATAAATAAATAAATTACTTACTTTTCATTCACATTTTGCTGTCGTGATTTACAATACATATCCAGAATAAAAAAATATAGAAAGGGTTTGAATTTCATACAATTAAGGTTCATAAACCCTCTGCTCACTCATATGAAATTTTTCTTTAACTGTTATGATTTTCCAAAGGAAATGTATATGCTGAATAAAATACAAACAATTATAGCATGGCTTGCGGGGCAAAATTTGACAAAAAAGCACTTAAACTTGACAAATTTATAAAGGAATAATAGACATTTGTGTCATTAAGAGTTATCTCTCTTATCAGAGTATCAATGTACCTTAATCACCAAGACTGTGGATCATTCACACGACTAAAGAACCTTGTGATATTTTCTGAGAAAAGTTATATAAGAAATCTTATTTATGTTTCAGATGTTAATATAATTGGGCTTAATAATGGAGCAGAGATTGACATTTCCCTTTTACTTGAAAACATTATAAAATATTATAATCATCTGACAGTCAGCAAAATCATTGAAAAACAAATTAATTTTTCTTTTGTGGGTGCTAGGATTATTATATAAAAAAAATAATGAATATCATTACAGACAAAATGAAAAGAAGTTCACACGGGCCTTCTGGAATGAGAAAAAAAATATTCTAATTGTATTTTCATCAGACCAGGGATAATACTTCATTGTTTGACTTCAGTAGTTGTTCAGATAATTACAAAATTTAATGTACGTAGTCGCATCCTTTGATTAAGAGTGCATGCTGGGTGATGATGGCCATTTTCGGACTACATGTATATTGATATCCTTTACAAGAAAGGCTCTATTTAGAGATATACAAAAATGATCAAATTTTAGAACTAAAATGTTTAAATTTTTCTTTGCCAAATTAGATAGTTGACACCTCAAGATATCATATCAAAAAAAGATTATATCTGATGGTTAATTTGTTGACACTATGCATGCAACCTTTTTGTTTTTTCAGAAAAAGAAAATTACACCGAACCTAAAGGACTTTTCATACATGTCGTGAAAAATAAAATTCATACATATGACACGGGCTTCGGAAGCAAATTGAGATTGGGGGGGGGGGGGGTAATCGAAAGTGGGGGGGGGGGGTAAACCACCAAAAAAGGTAAATCCCAATTTTCAATGCCTATATAATGACTATTTTTGCCAAAAAAAGGAAAAAGTCGGGGGGGTTAAGCCCCCCCCCGTCCCCCCGGTTCTGACGCCTATGTATGATTCACCAAATGAGAAGAAAAAACATTATAAACAGTGATCGATCTAACAGAAAAAATACAAACAATATGCAAATACCTGGGCGGATTTAGATAGGTGTGGGAAGGGGCCCAATCGGAACATCACTCGGAGTTTTTTCTCGACTTGACTGAAAAAGTCGAGTGATGTTCCGATTGCGAAGGGGCGTCCTTCCCGGAACTTTCTGAGAAATGAAATGTACAAGCATGAGTATATAGTAAAGTAACTAAAAATGTCCAGACTAGAAAATGTGAGCTCATGTTAAGTTGGAAGGAAGAGACAAATATTTTAAGCTTAGGAGCGTAAGATGTGACAGAAGCAGCTAACACCCACCCACCTCTGACATAGTGTCCTATATGAATATTAAACGGTGTCAAACATTAAATGTAAAGCATTAATTGAACATGGGATAAAATAAATAATTTTACATGATTTGTATTATCCAACTCCTTGTCTGGTTTTACTGATCCCTTGGCCAAATCTCCGGGGGGGGGGGGGATTAACACAACTAAAAATCATAATTATCTAACTACAAATCATGAGAGATCCTATATTTAATTTCTTAACATGAGAAATTTCTGGACACACAATTTTTTTAATGAAAAAAAAAATTGTAACAGTTCTTGCCAAATTGAGTTGTATGTGCATATTTTGATTTTCATTCAAACGGCTGTGAATGTAATTTTGTTTAATTTAATTTATGTCTTAATTAAGATGAATCATGTCCTTAGAGACTCCACAAAAATATTAATTTCATTTTTAAAAATATCTTCGTGCACATGGTCCATTATATAGATCTAGTGTAAACTCAATTTTTTTTTTTCCATATCGACCTCGGTAGTTAATTGTTACAAAAAATTATTATTTATGGTGTATTTTAGTGAAATATGACGTAAGAACAATTGCTTATTATTTAATTATCTAACTAAAACTTTGTCAAACATTATTGATTAGCCCTACAAAAAAGGTAAAAGAGATAATTAACCTCAGATAATCCGAACAATAAGTACTAACAGTCCTTTGATTATTCAGCCTGAGATTGTGTTGAAATCTCGCGAGAGTTCTAGTCAGCTTCCTGTTTAGTAGCGACTGGAAAGGAAAAAATCCACAATGGGGTTGCTTGATTTTGATTTTCTTGACGATGTACGGCGGATGAACCCAAGACAGGTAGGTCGGAAACATAACTTTTGATGTAGGATTTATTTTACTATATGCTGGCTGCAAATAAATTCGCTTATGTGGAGAAATTTTGATAACAAATGTGGCAGTTCGAATTTCCTTGGTAATGGTTTTGAAAGCATCAAGAGATTCATACAAAGAAACTTGATTGTTTTTCTGCCATAAACAACATAACAGTTGCTTTAAAATATTGATTTCTTTTGGAAATGTAAATTAGAGTTGAAATCAATTAATTTAACTGAGGATTTTCCATGGGAAACTTGAACATATGGTCGCCGGTTAGGTGAAAATCTGTCAGGACTGGTACCGTACAATCACTAGATTTAGCTACATAGCTTAAATTACCTGCATAGCTTTATTTAAAAACCTGAGAAACTTTATTAAGCTACCAAACCAGACATTTCTTGATTTAACATTTTTCTCAGGATGAGCCAAAAATAGCCCTTCAGGCCTTTGATGCAGTGATAATTTTCAACTTTAAACCTCATCTGAAAACAATTTATGAAAAAATAATTCTTGAAGATGTGTCTCTTTTGCCCAATTGCAGCACTCAAGAGTTCTTCCGATGGCTTGTTTTTTGTGCCTCATAATCTGGACCAAAAATAAATTGAGCTTTTTTTCTGTTTATCCAGAATAAGGTGTGGGTTTGCATTTGAGTAATATACAAAATGGGATAGAGTCATGTAAACGCTTGATTGGTCGAACAGTTTTCATTTAAAAGTGTCTATGTGATGTTGAATATGCGTATCACAAATCCAAGCAAGGCTGTCGAAAGCGGTAATGTAAGGCATAGTATCTGTAAGGTTAAACTTGGTATAACAGAAGTTGATGGCATGACTCTCCTCAGTAATGTCTTTTAAATTGGCAAAAATATACTGACGAATCAGTTATACCAGTTTGAAATAGAAATAATTTAAGGTACAATGTCTATCTGATTTGCTAGATGAGTCTAGCGGCGATGCTTGGATTTGTGCTTATGAAAACGACTTCATGCCAATTCAATGCGATTTTTTATACCATGTATATTAAAGGTTTAAAACTTAGTAATAGGGTTTAAAAATAAATAATAACTGGGAATCAATTTGCACTGCAGTTGTTAAACAATGGGAAACCCATGACACCCGGATACTAACAACATTTTTGAAATTGAAAAAAATTTTTCCCCTACCTACTGACCCAAAAATATTAAGACTGAGTCGGCAACGCCAAACCAACAATTTTTTAATTGTGGCCCTTGGATGTCAACAGTCTTTTGATCTTATTTGAATATCTTTCAAATGTCAAACATATGAAATTTGAGTTACTTTCTGGCACTCCCAACACTTTGTTCTTGCTTTCAAAGCCTGCTAACATAAGGTTGTAATCAAAACCTTATTACAATGAAGTAATACACAAATTTAGAAACCTTATCGAATAACTTTAAGCAAAGGGAAGTACGAAATGAGTGATTAGGTAGTTTCCGGCATGAAATGTTCCTACCTGATGCATATTCCTCTACCAATTACATCCTAGGTTTGAATGGAGCATGATAGCAGAGTCGGCTGAGGATTGCCGATTGCAATTGCAGTCAAAATTCTGAAAGTTTTGGGGTTATATTCAACAGCTAATTTGTGACCAAACAGCTCATTTGTGACCAAACAGTAAATTCTTGAATGAAATAACAAAGAAGACCAGTTTTAGTTAACATGATAATGGATTTGTTATTTTTTCTTACAGCTATACTATCAAGTTCTGAACTTTGGAATGATTGTGTCCTCTGCGCTGATGATATGGAAGGGATTAATGGTAGTAACTGGTAGCGAGAGCCCCATTGTGGTTGTTCTCAGGTAATTAGGTGTATGATTTGTAAAACTCATACATTCAAACTTTCTTAAGGCCATCTTTAAAAAATTTATGTTGGTCTGACCTCTCTTGGATTGCCAACTCAATCAAAACATTTTTGACCTCCAGCATGGTTGACCCAAAGACAGAGGGTCGGGGAATTTTCCCAACCAGTAACAATTTTATCCCCTGGTTATTTTGGTATTCCTCCTAAACTTTCCATTTAAGGAGGAATCTCAGATTCCCTTCTACTTTTGAAATGTTCCCTATTTCAATTCTTATGGACAACCCTTCTACAGGAAGCAATGACTTTTTTCATGCAATCTGAAAAATAGATTTTGAAAATTCAGAATTGAAATTGAAATTTTTTGGAAAAAAATTTTCTCCTACCTACCAGTCTTTTTTAGGTCACCTGAGTAAACTCAGGTGACCTATTGCTATCCGTTTTCGTCCATCGTCGTGCGTTGTGCGTTAACATTTGAACATTTTCAGCTTCTTCTCTGCAACCACTGAACCAATTTCAACCAAATTTGGCCTAAAGCATCTATGGCTGAAGGGGAACAAAAATTGTGAATTTCATGATCCCTGCCCCCCTGGGGCCTGAGGGGTGGGGCCAAAACCACTAAAATTAATGCAATCTTTAAAAATCTTCTTCTTAACTCCTGGACATCAAGCAGTCAAACTGTTTGCATGATTGTAATCAGCAATGAGTCCTCTACCAAAATTGTGAAATTCATGGCCCTGGGGTCAGGGGTTCTAGTGCTAGGGCGGGGCTAAATAAGTAGGTAGTGAAAATGCATTACTTCTCTGAAAATCTTCTTCTCTGCTCCTGGGTATTAAATAAACCAACTAAGCACATAGTTATGATGAGCAAGAGTGCCACTACCAAAATTGTGAATTTTATGGCCCCAGGGTCAGGGGTTCTGGTGTTAGGGCAGGGCTCTATTGATTATATAGTGAAAATACATGAATTCTTTGAAAATCTTCTTCTCTGCTCCTGGGTATTAAATAAACTAACTAAGTGCATATAAAAATGATGAGCAAGAAAGCCTCTACCAAAATTGTGAATTTTATGGCCCCAGGATCAGGGGTTCTGGTGTTAGGGCGGGGCTCTATTGATTATATAGTGAAAATACATGAATTCTTTGAAAATCTTCTTCTCTGCTCCTGGGTATTAAATAAACCAACTAAGTACATAGTTATGATGAGCAAGAGTGCCTCTACCAAACTTGTGAATTTTATGGCCCCAGGGTCAGGGGTTCTAGTGTTAGGGCAGGGCTCTATAGATTATATAGTGAAAATACATGAATTCTCTGAAAATCTTCTTCTCTGCTCCCGGGTATTAAATAAACTAACTAAGTGCATAGTTATGATGAACAAGAGTGCCTCTACCAAAATTGTGAATTTGTTTGGCCCCAGGGTCAGGGGTTCTGGTGTTAGGGCGGGGCTCTATTGATTATATAGTGAAAATACATGAATTCTTTGAAAATCTTTTCTGCTTCTGGGTATTAAATAAACTAACTAAGTGCATAGTTATGATGAGCAAGAGTGCCTCTACCAAAATTGTGAATTTTATGGCCCCAGGGTCAGGGGTTCTGGTGTTAGGGCGGGGCTCTATTGATTATATAGTGAAAATACATTAAATCTTTGAAAATTTTCTTCTCTGCTCCAGGGTATTAAGCAGATGAACTACCTATATAGTTATGCTGGACAAGGGCCCATATCTTCCAGAATTGTGAATTTCAAGGCCCCAGGGTCAGGGTACCATAGAAGGGGGGGGGCTGTACTTATATACTGAAAATGAATGAATGGTTTGAAAGCTGCTCCTTGGTATTAATCAAATATCAAGGCCTAAGGGTCAGGGGTTCATGTGTGGTAGGGGCACTATTGATTATTGCTGAATATTACTGATTAGTTGAAATGCATTTTTTGTTCCCTTACCCTGCATATGGGTATTAAGTAAACAAACTAAGCAACTGCTAAGTGTATTGATATGATGATCAATGGTGCCTCTTTCAAAATTGTGAATGCCATAGCATCTGGCTTAAAACATGAATCAAATTTAATCACTGGAATGTTGTTGCATAATACTCAGGTGACCTATAAGGCCCATGGGCCTCTTGTTTTTTTCATTCTGAGTCAGGAGAGGGCAAATAAACATTATTTTAAGATTGGCCTTTTTTGGAAATCAATATTTAAAAGAGAGAAAGACATTCACTGATTTGAGATATTGAGGTTAAGGGAATTTGGATTTTAAATTATAGTTCACATTGAATTGACATATCAGATTTTAGAAGATGGGTATAAAATAATATTTTTCTTTCATTAAATACAGTGGCAGTATGGAGCCAGCGTTTTTCCGTGGTGACCTACTTTTCCTGACCAACTACAGAGAGGAGCCAATCAGAGTAGGAGAAATTGTTGTCTTCAAAATAGAGGGTCGAGATATTCCAATTGTCCACAGAGTGCTAAAAGTCCATGAAAAGTAGGTTTTAATTTTTGAAAAATGAGATAAAACCAAACTTTGATTGTTTTGTATCCTCAGTGGAAATCTTATACCTCCTCGTTATTTTGTAAGAACTCTTTTGTTTATGACTTTGTAAAGTTTTGAAATTAAAATAAGTCACAACTTAATTTGTTTTCTCTTCTTTAGAAATGGTGTGCATGTACATGTAACAATTGTTTTTATTTATACATTTGTGAGAAACTACTATTTAAGAAAAAAGAAAAAAAATCTTTTCTAATCTTAGTTTTATATCTAGAAGGTATTTTGTTGGTAGAGTATCTCAAAATGGATAATCTGTAGAAAATCTTAAGAAATCAGATATTTTAAAATAATGATTTACATTTTGCAGAGAAGATGGAAAAGTTAAATTCCTAACTAAGGGAGATAATAATTCAGTGGATGATCGAGGGTTATATGCCCCTGGACAGCTGTGGTTGGAGAAAAAAGATGTAGTCGGTCGAGCCAGAGGGTAGGTTAATGAGGCCATTTAAAGTTTTTTCTCTCTTTAGCATCCATTCATCTTTTAAAAACGTACCTACATGCACATGTACCTATTCGCAGAAAAACCCAAGCCAAAAAAAACCCCCACAAATTTAATAGTTTTAAAGATTGTGCATTGTGTTTTTACATTGCTCTATTAATCAAAAGCTTTCACTCTCATTAATGAATTTCAGAATAAGACTGATAGGTAGAACATTCAAGAAAGATAACTCTTATACATGTTATATATGGAAAAATGTGATGAATTTCCAGTAATACTATATTTAGATGTATTTGGTTGGTGATTTTCATTACAGATTCGTTCCTTATGTTGGTATAGTGACTATACTGATGAATGACTATCCAAAGTTTAAAGTAAGATTTTCATTTATACCCTGATATATTAATGTAAAAAAATATTTATATAAAATTGGCCTATTTTATTTTCCATTCAAATGGAAATATCCATAGATTGTTTTTCATTTGTTAACTTATATTCCTCTTTCTTAATTGCAGTATGCCATTTTAGCCTGCCTGGGACTGTTTGTGTTGATTCATCGAGAATAACAAAGACCAGAAAAATAGAGAAAAAAAATTAACAGAGTGCTGGATAAAAGTGAAAGAACATTTAAAAGCCTACACAGCGGTGCATGATCTGTATTTATGGTGTAAGGGTTGACTCTTTATGTTCATGTCAATTGTGTTTATTGCCTGTTACTGTGAAAGGTGTTAGAGAAATCATTCAGTTGGTCTGCAATCGTGTGGAAGTCATGTGAGTTTTTGGATGAAATGTATGGGAGAGTTTTACAAGTCAATACATTCTCTAAGGTGTGCTTTTTTTCATAAACTGGATAACAATGTCATATTGTTAAAGTATTTTGAAACATTATGTGACTAATTTTTTTTTTCTGTTTTATTTCTAATGAATAATTATGAATTATGGATTTGATTGTGTTTTTTTTAATGTTTGTATGGTAAGATCCTCTAATAAGAATGGAAACTTCCGGTGACACCTGTCGCCATGACGTGATTTTTTGAGAAGCGGAGAGTGTAAAGGAAAATTCGCTATAAATTACATGTGTGTGGTAAGAAACATACCAATATGACATTCGTGAGTTAGAGAACTAGTATTTTCTTAATATTAACTTTCTCAATTTTCGAAAAGCTCTGAAAAACAGTTTCCTTTAACAAGTGTGATCAGCTATTGTGTCTTTAATGAGTGATGTTCACCCTATGAGTCGCCAAGTGGAAAGTAAACGCAAAAGATCTGAGACTCTTAATAGTTCTTCTGAAGAACTAAATCCATTAAGAAGACGTTTCAATTCCACATCTCTACCCAATATTACATCAACTGGAATAAATATGTCATCTAATAGTGTCTCAACGCCTAGTCCCATTGTACAAATCAATCCCCTATCCCAGGGCTTTGCTACCTCCTCACCTATTGTTGGTACAGTAGGGACCCCTGATACCTCTGATGATTCTTCATCTATCAATGATTTGCCACCATCATCTGCTATTAATGACATAATTATAAAGACTGTCAGCAGTCAAGCATTTATTGGGTCGCTTGTTCCTCTTATTGCAACAGCTTTAGCACCTCACATCCAAGTCATTATTCAGAGTTGTTTACACTCAATGTCTGAAACCATCAAAACCCAGCAAGAAACAATTAAAAAATAAGCCGATGAAATTAAAAGTGTTCAAGAAATAAACTCTGACCTTGAAAAAAGAGTAAACGACTTAGAATGTGGCCTTGATGACCTTGAACAATACGGCCGAAGAACATGCCTACGCTTTCATAATGTCAACATTACAAATGAACAGGCCCAGAACACTGATGATGTTGTAATTGATATTTGTAAAACAATGGGTGTCAACATTGTACCTGACGACATCAACAGGTCTCATCCCATCGGCCGCCCTAACTCCAACAATCTTAGGCAAGTAATCTGCAGGTTTCGCAGCTGGAAAATCAAAAACAAAATCTACAGCGCGAAGAAAAACCTAAAGGATAATCCGCAAAATCCCAGCAAAATATTTGTCACTGAAGATTTAACAAAGTACAGACAACTTGTGGTTAAAAAAATTATAGAAGCAAAAAAGGCAAACAAACTGCACAGTTTCTGGACATATGACGGTAGAATCTATATTAAAACCGAAAAAGAAGGCGACAGAATCCAAATAACATCGCTGGATGATTTGTATGAACTAATCGAATAAATGCATCAAACATGTGCCTTTAAATAGTAGATCTGTGTCACACGGTGAAAGTGAGTTCTACATTTAAAACGTTATAGACATGTTTTAAACATGATAATATATATTTTCCACACTCTCCAATACCTGTTTATTGTTTTGTTCTCAGAACAATGCTGTTATACAAGCTTTGTTTATTTACAATCATTGTCAGTCTTGTTTATATGTTTGCTTTGACTGACTTGCAAGTACTTGTTCTTGTAACAAGCTTTAGTTCATTATTTTCTGTTTACTGTTTGTTTTTTATTATGATTACATCTGCAATGGGTTTCAGTTTATCTAGACAATTTCAAGATCTTTGCAATATTCAACTTTGCTGTTCTTTGCGGCTTTATTTTCCTATTTTTTACCAACCCAAAACATTAGTTATTACCGATCATGGGTAATACTCTTGAACAATATCGAGCCGCAATTGGAATTTTTTACCTTCGAAATAGATGCACATTCAAATCCATGAATTACTGTTTTTTCAGATTGGTATATTTAGTTTGGCTTTTGTGGAAAGCTTACCTATTTTGTAAACAAGAATTCAAAGTTTGTAAGAAACATGCAGTATATTTTCAGCATGTCAATTTTCTTTTTCAACTTATGAGTATATTATTAATGCTGTCTGGTGATATTGAATCAAATCCTGGGCCTACAGATAACTCTTTCCATACTTTAGATATTTTTCATATAAACATAAGAAGTATAAGAAACAAAATTGAAAATTTAATATCATTTGTCAGTGATTATCATATTTTGTGTTTTACTGAAACACATTTAGACTCAAATATTGATGATAATGCTATTTCGATTGAGGGGTTTTCTACAATTTTTCGCAAAGATCGTAACTCATATGGAGGCGGTACCCTGATTTATGTATCCGATTCACTTCGTGCCATAAGACGCACTGACCTTGAACCCTTGAATACGGAATGTATATGGATAGAAGTTAGCGACCCTATAAGTAATATTTACCTTTGCTGTCTATATCGGCCTCCGAATTCTGATAAATCCTTTTGGAGAAACGTAATGTGGTCCATTGAAAAAGTTTCTGATATATCCAATAAGATAATTATCCTTGGAGACTTAAATGTAGATTTTTTAGATATTCCACGCACTCATATTGTTAACGAAATTTTGTCTCAGTATAGTCTTAGCAATATTGTCAATGAAGCAACGAGAGTCACGAGTAGATCGAGCACGCTTATTGACCCAATTCTGGTTAGCTCAGACATCAAGGTGCTTCACTCTGGAACTGTTCATGTTGATAATTTTATAAGTGACCACAAAGGAACATATGTTTTTGTTAAATCAGATGTTATTCAAAATCAATCATACGAAAGAAAGGTTTGGTTATATAAGCACGCAGATATGGATAAATTGAATTCTCTCATTGAAAATACTGATTGGAATACGCTTATAATTGAGGCACCTGATATAGATCAAGCAACGAAAAATTTTACATCAACATTTTTGAATAAAGTAAAGGAATGTATTCCTGAAAAATCGGTTGTAATTCGCCCGAAAGATAAACCTTGGTTTGATTCGGCTCTGCGTAAAACACATAGAAACAAGAATAGATTATTTAGTAGGGCCCAAAGGACAAAAAGAAATTCTGACTGGGAAAAATATAAGAAATGCAGGAATAAGTTTAACAATATGAAAAAAATCGCCATTGAAAATTATCATAATAACATAGAGCATCATATTACAGACGCAAGTAAAAATAATTCCAAACTTTACTGGAAGTTATTGAGAGATATATTTAAAGTAAAATCTACTACCGATATTCCTCCTCTACAGTATACCTCTGTTAATGGTGACGCATGTGTGGCTTTTACAAATGAAGAGAAAATAGATGTTTTAAATGATTATTTTGCTTCTATCTCTTGTATTGACGAAAACGACGCTATTTTACCTAATTTATATTCTGTGTGCAATAACCCATTTGATACAGTCTGTATTGATGAACAAGAGATTATAGATATTATTTCAATTATTCCTGTTAACAAAGCAATAGGTCCAGATAATATTAGTCACAAGATGTTGAAATCTACCATGTATACTATTGTAAAACCATTATGTTTATTGTTTAATAGGTCATTAGTTGATTGTATTTTTCCTTGCAAATGGAAAGTTGCCAATGTTCTCCCTTTATTTAAAAAAGATGATCCATCTGTTATGTCTAATTATAGACCTGTGTCACTATTAAGTTGTATTGGTAAAATAATGGAACGAATCATATTCAAACACTTGTATAATCACTTTCGTGACAACAATCTTTTTTATAAATACCAGGCTGGATTTTTACCAGGTCATTCCACTGTATATCAACTAATAGAAACATATGATACTATTGTTAAAGCCATCGATGATGGTGAAAATTGTTGTATGATATTCTGTGATCTTTCTAAAGCATTTGATCGTGTGTGGCACAAGGGTCTCTTGTTCAAACTTAGAACTTATGGTATAGAGGGAAATATGTTTCATTGGTTAAAGAGTTACATAGAAGGTAGATCACAAAGAGTTTTATACAGAAACTTGCTATCTGACGAAAAACCTATACACGCCGGTGTCCCTCAAGGCTCAGTGTTAGGACCTCTATTATTTCTTATATATGTTAATGATGTTGCTGAAGAAATGACAAGTTTTTGTAGATTATTTGCAGACGATAACTCCCTACAACAGTCATCTAAAAATGTTAATACTATTGAAAACAAACTGAATTCTGATCTTAACAAGCTAGAAATCTGGTCGAAAAAATGGCTTCTTAAATTCAATCCTACTAAAACTAAAGCAATATTTTTTAGCCTGAAAAAAAGTGTTATTTATCCTAAACTTTTCTTCCAGCAAAGTCAGCTAGAATTTGTTTCTTTTCATAAACATTTAGGAATTTTTTTCTCGCAAGATCTAAGTTGGTCTACACATATTGATACTATTCTAGCCAATGCATATAAAAAATTGGGCTTGTTAAAAAAACTTAAATTTGTTGTCAACCGAAAAACTCTTTCACTCATGTACACAACCTTTATTAGACCACAGTTAGAATACGCTTCCTTGGTGTGGGGTGGGTGTAATATAGGTGACAGCGAAAAATTAGAAAAATTACAATTATGTGCTGCTAGAATTGTCACAGGATTAACTCTTTTAGCTTCTAAAGATGCACTTTACATTGAAACTGGATGGGAACCATTACATGAAAGAAGGAAAAAGACCAGACTAACTACAATGTATAAAATTGATAAAAACCAAGTTCCTGAATATCTCACAGATATAATCCCTAACTTACGATGTAATTCATCAAGTTACAGTACGAGAAACTCGCAGAACTATAACATACCCAAATGCAGATTGCAAGCTTACAAATCAACTTTCGTTCCCCTTGTTATTGAAGAATGGAACTCATTACCTCTTAATGTAAGAAACTCTCCCTCGTTATCTATTTTTAAAAAGTCTATTTCTTTCAATAAACAAATGCCACCCTCTTACTTCAGTTATGGAAATCGACGCTTAAATATAATACACACGAGGCTCAGACATAACTGCGTGCTTAATAGCGATCTTTTTCGATGTAATGTAATCTTGAGTCCACTATGTTCTTGTGGAAGAGTGGAGGATACTCATCATTATTTCTTCTCATGCAAAAAATATACAGAAGCCAGGAAAGAATTTTTTGACAAATTTTTGCGAATGGGTAAATTACACACTGTCGATACTCACACTTTACTCTGGGGAGACAAATCGTTAAATGATTTTGAAAATGAATACCTATTTTCTATTGTACAAACTTTTATTAAAAAGTCAGGACGATTTGGTTGATACAATAATTATTTCTAACTGTAAATCTTATACAGCATGTCTATTACATATGAAATGTATTCTATTGAATGTGTTTTACTCTGATTATTATATATTATTATTATATTATTATTATTGTTGTTATTTCATTTTAAGCTGAAACCCATGTATGTAAATATGTTTGGTATAATGTATATGTAGGGAGAGGGCGTAATAAGTTTTTAGAACTTTTGCCCAATCCCATTTGTAAAGTATAATCAATAAAATATGTTCAAATCAAATCAAGAATATTAAGATATGTACAGTGTGTATTTGAATCTCTATTCAATATATTGTAATTTTTTTTTGTGGGGGGTGTTGGGGAGGGGGTCATAAATTCTAAACACACACAATGTGCAACAGCATTAATTAGTGTTAACACAAATAATAATTGCTCTGAAATATGACTTTAAAAGGTGCAATATTTGACAGTAAAAAACATTCATGTCTCAACTGATGCAAAAAATTGTATCATTAATTTATTGTATTCAGTCAGTAAATGCATTAGGCCAGTTTTTCAAACAGTATTTTGAAGATCCATGTTTGGAATTCTAGATCAAATTTTTGTGTACAGTGTATTTGTATTTACAATATGAATGTGAAAAAGAAGGGTTTATTTTAGAGCTGTAAATTAAATAACCATGTTCTTTTCAGGCCATAATGCTACATTGTATATCTCGCTTAAAAACTAAGTTTGGAGGGGTGTATTATTAAAAAAAATATCATAAATGACCTTAATGACCTCAAGTTCTTGTCAATTACCCTGAAGGTCAGTTTTAATTTATCAAACTTATGAACTTTTGCATGGCATCATACAGTGTAAGTCAGTGTGCAATTACATATAAAAATTTAATGATATTGACATTGATTGACTTTTGAATCATTATTAATGTGTTTTGACAAGTAAGTTATTATATGTATATTATTTTTGTTTCAAAATTAAAATGTTCATAGTTTAAAAAATTGCCAACTTTTTCATTAAAAATGCTAACATTTGCAATGGTAGGGCAAAGAAAATACAGTAAACCTCTCTTTTAGCAAACATGCTTACAGCGAAGTGATTTTCATTCCCGTGGGATCAAAACATTATGTGAAGTTATTGTGAAGCTGAGGAATTACGTTTGTAAGTTATAAGGAATCAGAATCATCTGTCAATAGCACTTTGTTATACATGTAAGAGTGGTTTGCTGTACATGTACTTGTAGTTGAGTAACAGAGTACCTCAAAAAGTGCAGACTTTATTGGAGGGGTTTGTAAGGGGGGGGGCTGTTTATTTAAGTCAAAAATATGGTGCTGTTACAAGAAATTCTTGTTATCATTCATTCAAGGCATCTGTTTGTATATTCTCAAAATGCAAGTTTATGTTATAGAGACTGAATTATTTGTAAGAAATAAACCAATTGTTGTTTAGAAATGTTTCAGTTGTTTTTTCTATTGATTTCTTTTAATTATCCATTTGGAGCTGGAACTCTTTTTGTATTTATTTATTTATGAGGTCAAACATTGGGTTGTAAATAATTATACTTTGCACATGTTGCCGGTAAAGAAGATGGGCAAAAGAGGCGAGCAAAATGCCTGGACTGTAACATACGTGTACAAGTTTGAAGGTGAAAAATTAATTCTCAATTATAACATGGTAATTGTGGGACGTAGAGACTGGTCCTTCGGATGAGACTGTATAAATCGAGGTCCCGTGTCGCAGTAGGTGCTGTCACGAAAAAGATCCCTCGCTGCTCATGGCCCAGAGTACCGAGCATAGGACAAAATTTGCAGCTCTCCACCGGCAAGCGGTGGCGTCTCCATATATGAATGAAAAATTCTTGAGAGGGATGATAAACAACATACAAACAAACATACATGTATAAGGTTTATTCTTTGCTATTTCAGTTTACATTTATTAAAGTATACTTGATGTAAAATCTCCAAAATTTGCAAAAATCTCAACCAAAAAAAAAGTGGCTATATATTTTGATTTTTTTTCATCCTGGGGGCTTCCAGATAAATGATATATATATATAATTTGTTCTCGATTTGCAAGACAATAAATAAACTGACTCGGAAAATGTTGCCCCTTTTTCTAATTATAAGATAAAAAAAATATTTTGTCAGATTTCATTTTTTTTCAAGCTTCAAGTTCTTGATAAATGTATTTTTATATTTAATTTACATGACCGTTTTAAAGGTACATCGTATATTGTGATTGTTCACAGAAAATATCAGATAAAAAATTCGGAGAGGGCTACATTATTGCAGCTAACATGGAACGTGTTTTTGTTGAAGGGTTTTTAGGTCAGGTGACTAGTTGCGGTCCATTTCCTTCCATGGTTGTCAATTGTTTGTAAACGAACATTTGAACATTTCGATTCATGCAGTCCTTATCTAAGAAAGATGTCATGAATCCTATTCAAACATTTATGGAATGGTTATGATAGCAGTTTAAATGTTTGGGTTACTTATACAGTAATATATTTGTTTGTTTTTTAGCCGTAAATTAAATATTTTTCGAATTTTCAAAATAAAAAAACAACAAATGAACTAAATATTTACATATCCATATTACATGAACATGAATATACATACATACGGATAAAAAAAAAAACTTAAAACAAAAGATTAATTTTGAGTTCCTTCCCAACCAAACCTCCTCCCCTTGGAAGGGAGTAGGGTGAGGCTGCGGACAAAAACTCCGCTATCTAGATCTTTTTTTTTTATCTCTAGACATTTAGTAATGTGTAACAGGACCCCAAATAATTTTTTTTGACTCGATCATATAGGTAGCTGACGGCTTATAATTATCTTGTAGTTACTAGGCATCATGGACAATTAATTCAAATTACTTATTTGTAAAAGTTCTACACGTGTCATACTAGGACACTTCCTAACCGCATTCTTCCTAGCTCTTTATCGAAATAAACTGACTTCTGCTATCGGACTAATCCACCTGCCCCTGAGATGACGTACGGGGAATTCTCCTCAAGTTTGGAAGTCGCTCGGTGTCTTGTTCTAATAAATCCATGGGGTTTAATTCAGGGATCTTGTTTTGCCTTCAGGTGTGTGTAGTTATGACAGGTGAGATTATTTCAGGGTTAAGGGGGTGGGGAGTTGTCGCCATGCTAAGTTTTTTCTTGTTTAATGACAGTGATATTAATTTTATTTTATCTGTTTTGCGTCATTTTATATACTAATGGAACTTTTTTTTGGAATTTTGATTTTAATTCTGGCAGTGGAGTTCATATTAATATCTTTTGTGTACGTCAGCCACTATCAAAAAATTTCCCTTTCAATCCCTTGAAGATAAGTTCGATAGTGATAGATATAGTCTATTTATAAATATACTGATACATTTCTAAAAAAAATATTGAAATCTTAATTCTTTTCTTTAAACAAGGAGCTACTATCTACAGAAAGTAAAAGTAAAGTTGAAGAGGGAAAAATAGTCCACAATCCAACAGTTCAGCTGGTACATAATTATACAAGTTATTCCAAAACCTGTACAAATACCGATAAGATGTGATCTTTATCCATTAAGTGCAGATTGTATGACGACAATTCAATATATTAATTTTTATAACAATAATTTTCTTTATCTTATAATTCTTCCCTTTCCTTTTGTATCTTAATTAAAAATATATGTCTGATACAAGTAAAACTAATTTATTATGCGTAAAATAGCTATTTTTTATTCATTTCAGATTCATTCTGACCTTGATGTTTATATTGCTTTCTTTATTGTTCTTATTTTATTTTCATACTAAACATTGCATGAGGTCTCAAAATGGATATTAACAGTATTCAATATATTCACTCAAATGATACGCAATATATAAGTGTAAATTATACTGCTAATTACGTATAGTCATTGCAAAATGGAAACTAGTTGTTAAATTTAGTAGGACATAATTACTTGCACAGGATAGCTCTTCTTCAAGTGAGCTGATCATCATGTGTAAACTTTTCAAATGTTAATCTTATAAAGAACCACTGGGTCAATTTAAACCAAAGTTGGCTGAATGTATTTTTGAATGAAGGGCCATTTAAATTTTTAACATTAAGGGCCAAGGTGATCAAGAAATGAAAATAATAGGCTGGTCTCAAGTGAGATGTGGCCCATTTTTCCAATTAAAAATTGGGTTGACAAACACATTGAATATATAACCATAAATGACAAGTAAGGAGAGAAATTAATTAAAGCGCTTTCAATTTCACTCTGAAGAAATTGGACTTGACATGTTCGCTTTTTTTTTTCCAGATAAAATAAACCATCTGTGTATATTTTGTTGTTCTTAGGATGCAGTAGGGGAATTTCCTTTTTTTAGTACGAGTGTACGTATTCTTTCATTTTAAAATGTATAGTGTATAAAGATTTTTTCCCCCACCCCTTAGTTCCTTATTCTTTCTGCCCATTTGAATGACGTGTGCCAATTTCCACTTTTTGAACTGGAAGAATGTCAGAAAAAATGAGTTGTATTTTCAATACCTTTTTTTTTTTTTCGACGTTTTCATCATGAAATCATACTCATACACTGTATATGACTGCTCGCTTGAAGCTAAGATTTTGATTTTAAAAAAAACAAAAAACAAAAACAAGATTTTACTGTACCACGGCAAAACATCATTAATCACTTCTAATTTCATATCATGTTAATAAACATTGGTATCTATGGTTAGATCAAAATAAACCTCAATATATTTTAAATTATTTTTATGGGGTAAAAAATTTGACTTTTTGTAAGATCTTTCTGAGAACTTCAAAGAACCTTGAAGCACAATGAGAGGTATAAAATGAAAATTTTTGCATGAAAGGATTTAGTTTCATTTTGAGACTTTTTGAACTAAGTTATAAATTAAAGAGTTATCCTTCCTGGCTGAGGATCGGAGTACCTTAAAAATATATGTCTGATACATGTAAAACTAATTTATTATGCGTAAAATAGCTATTTTTTATTCATTTCAGATTCATTCTGACCTTGATGTTTATATTGCTTTCTTATTTTATTTTCAAAATGGATATTAATAACAGTATTCAATATATTCTCTCAAATGATACGCAATATATAGGTGTAAATTATACTGCTTAGATTACGTATATTCATTGCAAAATGAAAATTATAGTTGTTTAATTTAGTAGGACACAATTACTTGCAAAGGACCCTTTGAGCTCTCCTGAGCTGAAAGCTCAAGTGAGTTATGGTGATCACCTGTTGTCCGTCGTCCATGTGTAAACTTTTCAAATGTGCAAACGTACATCTTATAAAGAACCACTGGGTCAATTTAAACCAAAGCTGGCAGAATGTATTTTTGAATGAAGGGCCATTTAAATTTTTAACATTAAGGGCCAAGGTGATCAGGAAATGAAAATAATAGGCTGGTCTCAAGTGAGAGTTGTGGCCCATTGGTTTCTTTTTCGGGGGGGGGGGGGGTTTAAATCTAGATCTGTGGGTTGACTATGGTCACCCAGGCAGCATTGAATATATAACCATAATTTGATGACAAGTAAGGAGAGAAATTAATTTAAGCGCTTTCAATTTCACTCTGAATGTTTGTAAACACCTTTAATGCTTGGGCTTGACATGATCGCTATTTTTAGACCTTATCCAGATAAAATAAACTATCTGTATATTTTGTTGTTCTTAGGATACAGTAGGGGAATTTCTTTTTAAGTACGAATGCACGTATTCTTTAGGATGTCTTAAAGTGCATTCGACTACATGTATAAGAGTTCGAATTCCAGATTTGTTATGTCCCTCCCCCTTGTTCCTAATTTCTCTCTGCCTATTTTGAATGACTTGTGCCAATTTCCACTTTTTGAACAGGAAGAATGTCAGAAAAAATAAGTTGTATTTTCGATACATTTTGTTTTCGACGCTATCATCATAAAATCATACTCATACATTGTATATGAATGCTTGCTTGAAGCTAAGATTTTGACTAAAAAAAAAAGATGTATTTGTGAAACACTGATCCTCCCGTATGACAGAATTTGGCAAAAATTGAAGTTTCTCAAATGCAAGTCATAGTCAAGGTATGAAATGATACCCAGTAAATGTCAAAACACTAACCATAGAGAAGATATATAGTCAAAGTATAAAGTTTGTAAATGTGTGTAAAAATTAAAAGACAAGGTCAAAGGATCAAATTAAAGGTATCCAGGGGAAGGCATAATATGAAATACACATATAAAATATCAAAGCCTTAGCACAAATCATTCAAAAGTTATGGCTAAGGTTTACGATTTTCAAAAGTGGGTCAAACATCAAGGTCATAGATCAAAATTGTTGGTTCTCAAGAGAAGGCCTTGTCACATTGAATATATATATATTATATCTATTTATAATCTGAAGGTCCCAGTACTAAATGTTTAAACTTTATTGACAACAGCTTTAAGTTTTTTAAAAGTTGTTTAAACTCAAAGGTCACGGCTTAAAGGTCGAAAATCGTTATAATTTGTTTGAATATTAAGAATTCATAATTTAAACGATAAAGATAAATTACTATAGAGACGAGATTTATTTATTTTGGACGTCTTTATTTCTGCCCCACAGCAAGTGCTACTAACCCACAGTTCTACGCCTTAGATAACCCTTGTTTGGAGAAGTTCCGGTTATGTTCCACTTCCTGTTCCGTTTCTTACATGACCGGAAGTCTGAACTGCCAGTTTTGTGTATGTGACGATCCCAGGTTCTCTAGTGAGTATTTTATTCTACAAATCTGTCATTTTCATAAGAACAATTTTTTTTTTATTTCTTGTGTCACAGTAACTCCCTAGAAATTTTATATTTCTTTCTTTGTAAAATTTAAATATACAGACAGACAGTCTTCATTTCCTTTGCAATAAATGTAAACAGCCTTTTTCGTATCTTTCTCTTTAAAATTTTAACGTTCAGTATATTGATCAGCCAAATAAACAATAGTAATTTATCTGTACATAACTTCCTTTCTTTTTCACCGGAAGTTTATTTTAGCGTGGATACATCCTGATCAGTTTTAGCAGAAAGGTTTTCGTAAATCGTGGCAAAAAGGGGGAAAAATTAAGAAAACTATCTATATTAAATTTTACCGGTAGCATAGGAACATTTTGCATGAATTTCATTAATTCAGAAAGAGAATAAAGTTAAAGGGATAAACTCAATAAATAAATACCCGAATATATAAATACACTGTGAATATGAAATTGATAAATAAAATACATTAAATAATTAATATACAATATATATATTACAAGTAAATAAATAAATAATAAATGAACGTATAAGGAAAGAAAAAAAGAAAGGAATAAATGAAAAATAGATAAATAAATATATGAAAATCAAAAGAATATCGAGGGTACATGTAAGTGTATAGAAATTGGCTCCTTTTGATACATTCTCTATCCAAATACAAGTAAGTTTTAATTTGATTTGTAAACATGTTGAAGTCATAAATTAACAACGTAAACATTCAAGAGGTTTGTTGTGAATTGATCTACCCAAATTTAGACAATATTCCCAAAAATTAAGTTGTGATTAGTTTTTTATTGCTTTATTTTGGAAAAAGTTTTTGTGATTTGTTTAATTAAAGTCTAAGGATATTGATTTCTAAAGCAATAGAATTTTATTAGATTTTATTTTTATTTAGATTTTTATACAAAAAAACCAAACCCGGAGCATTTAAAATGAGAATGATTTCAGTATGACCTTTGTGGTCATTTTCACTGCTAAATATATAAATACCAAGTTTAAAATGTGTTTGTTTAATTTTGAAGGTCACGTCTCCATCACTCGTGGTCACTCAAATTTACCATCCAGAACACCTCGGAACTTTCTGTGAAAGTGTATGAAGTGTTCCGGATGACAAAATCATTTTTTGTTTACCATTGGGTGGTCCAAACTTAAGATAAACTCATTATTTCATTGGATGGACCAACCCAGAGATAAATCATTATTTCTATCCAAAAATAATTTCCCTGCCTTCAAAACAATTCTGCCGTGTTATCTAACGATCTATTTAAATTATAAACGTATCGAAAGAAAGTCGAAAGACCAGATTGTGTTGCAATATGCCAGTAGAAGTTTGAACAAAACTTAGTTTGGCATATTTTGAAAAAAAAACCTCTCACATTTCTGTATCTTTTTATCGCTATAAAGAGAAAATAATGCGGAATATAATGAAAGGATTGTCTGTGTTGCTATTTTTAGTCGCTTGGCCGGAATCTACGACCCCCGCCCCAACTACGACTACCACCCCCAGGCCGACTCTCCCCGAGGGTCAATGGATGGCTAATAACATCATTTACACCAAACTTAAAAATCCGTGTTCCGAGTTTTATGCGGCCTGTCCGCTACTGTGCAAGAGAGGAAATTTTACCTATACCAATGGAACAACATGTGAAACCTGCACATGCGAAAGAGATTTTTTCAGTAAGTAACTTTAATTTTTTTTTCCACGTTCAAGAAATGAATAATCTTATTTTATTTTATTGTTTTGAAAAATTATTAAATTATAATTGGTAGTAACTTGCAAATAAAACAATACAAACCTTTTTTTTTAAAAAAAAAAGTCCAAAGCTTAGAAAAACTGACTTAATTGTGTTTATCAATGACTTTTTTTTTCTTTAAGAAATTATATCTTGACATTTACTTCGATTTTATGCAATAATCTCTCTAGATTTCCAAAAACTTAAATTATATGAGGGATTACCTTAAGCACATGCATGTCTCGTAGTTTAAAAACTAAATTACTTGCTTTAACATGTCTAACATATAGGAGTACTGTACATATATAGTCATCTCTGTTTTGAATGTTCATCTGGACAAAATGGGATCAAGGTTACTGTTCATATTCAAGGACAGTGCTGCTATTTTTAGTGACTGACCTCACGAATGAAAATATAAAATTTAATTCTACATTTATTTAACTATATAATAGTCTAGAGTGCCGATCACTTTCACGGGTAAAGAACCCTGATTTCTTGACAATTTTTCATTGTGTACTTTATAGTTTTTATCTTAATTATGTTCCCCAAACGAAGTTGGGGAACATATTGTTTTTACTCTGTTTCTTATTATTATTAAGGTCTTCCGTTTCTTACGGAAGACCTTATTGTTTTCGTTCTGTTTCTTTTTCCCTATTATTATTTTTTTTATTATTATTCTTACCGATTTTGTGCACGCGAGTTCTTGCAAACGGTTCGATGGATTTTTACGAAACTTTCAGATCTGATAGATATCGATCTGAACCTTATTGGAAATTTTTTGTTTTGAGAACGTCACTTCCGGTCATGAGATATGTACGATTTTCTGTATTTCAGTGGGTCTGCTTGTCCTGGTAACTCCTCCTAAATTACTTGAGATATGGAGTAGAGATTTTCAGTGTAGATAAAGAAAGGATTGTAGAAGTGCCATTTTGAGCCTATAGCTTTGCAGCGCCAGAGGCATCAAAGCTAGCCTGAGATTAAAATATGGCTCAAAAATATCTCACGCAATTTGACAACTTTTCGATTATATCTTCTCATCTATAAACATTTTGCAAAAACATACAGAATAAAAGTTGTTTAGAAATTTACGATCTTTCATTTGATAAGAAGGAAAAAGGGCTGACCCCTCAAATAAGGGGCCTAGAGCGGCCGAAAGACTTTCATCTATAACTCTTTCACTATCAATTTTTTGTTATAAATTACTGAAGCAAAAGTGTTCATCTTAACAATTTGCAACAATATATTGTAAAATTATGATTATATGTTACGTAATTAGGGGCCATAAGGGGCCGGAATACTGAAACTTTGACGCTTCATATCATGAAAAGAGGAAAATTTTGATAGGCAATATTGAACAAAAGATGGTCAGAATAATATTCTAAACAATATGCATACTTTGAATTTTTTGTAAAACGGCCCCATTAGGGACTTGTAGGAGTGGCCCCTAATTATTTTCATTTAGCATATCTCCTCATCGAATAGAAATCTCTGAATAAGTGTTGAACAAAAAATCTTTAAAATCACAAGACCTTTCATTTGATATCAAGAAAAAAGGGCTGATCCCTCTAATTAGGGGCTCAGAGGGGCCAAAAGTCTTTTATATCTAACTCTCTAATGATCTATATTTTGTTATACATTACTGAAGCAAAAGTATTTATCTTAACGATTTGCAATAATATATGATACTATTTTGATAATATGTTGCGTAATTAGGGGTCATAAGGGGCCAGAATGTCACATCTTTGACGCTTTATATCTCGAAATGGGGGAATATTTTGATAAGCAATACTGAACAAAAGATGGTCAGAATAATGTTCTAAACAATTTGCATACTTTGAATTTTTGTAAAACGGCCCCATTAAGGACTTGTAGGAGTGGCCCCTAAATATTTTCATTTAGCATATCTCCACATCGGATAGAAATCTCTGAATAAGTGTTGAACGAAAAATCTTCAAAATCATAAGACCGTTCATTTGATATCAAGAAAAAAGGGCTGACCCCTCAAATTAGGGGCTCAGAGGGGCCAAAATTCTTTGATATATAACTCTCTAATGATCAATATTTTGATATACATTACTGTAGCAAAAGTATTTATCTTAACAATTTGCAACAATATATGATACTATTTTGATAATATGTTACGTAATTAGGGGTCATAAGGGGCCGGAATGTCACATCTTTGACGCTTTATATCTCGAAATCGGGGAATATTTTGATAAGCAAAATTGAACAAAACATGGTCAGAATAATGTTCTAAACAATTTGCATACTTTGAGTTTTTGTAAAACGGCCCCATTAAGGACTTGTAGGAGTGGCCAATAAATATTTTCATTTAGCATATCTCCACAACGAATAGAAATCTCTAAAAAAAATTGTTGAACAAAAAATCATCAAAATCACAAGACCTCTCATTTAAAATCAAGAAAAAGGTGCTGAACCCTTAAATAAGGGGCTCAGAGGGGGCAATATTCTTTTATCTATAAATCTCTAATGATCAATATTTTGTTATACATTCCTGTAGCAAAAGTATTTATCTTAACGATTTGCAACAATATATGATAATATTTTTATCATATGTTACGTAATTATAGGTTACAAGGGACCAAAATGCTATATTTTTTATGCTTAATTTCTCAAAAAGGGGGAGTATTTTCGTAAGCCTTATCAATCAAAAGATGTTTAGAATATCGTGATAAGAATGAGAAACTTTAACTAGGGAAAACTCAATGTCGTTCTCTTTAAACAAATATCTCAGTCAAAATCTGATCTCATCTTATCGAGAAATTCAACGGAAGACCTACTCGTTGCTCGCAACGAGATCTATCTAATAATGTTCCCCAAACGAAGTTGGGGAACATATTGTTTTTACTCTGTTTCTTATTATTATGTTCCCCAAACGAAGTTGGGGAACATATTGTTTTTACTCTGTTTTTTATTATTATTATTCTTATTTTTCTTCCTGGGAAAATTTTGTCCGCGAGTGATCTTGTAAACTACACATCAGACTAAGGTGAAATGTTTTTAGGGTCAGTAGACATGTAATGTATATTTGCGGAACGAAGGTCATTTTGCGCGCACGTGCTTGCAAGAGCGCGCACGTGCAACATGATAAATGACCGATTACATTGATATAGATGTAACTTTTTAAATTTTTGATGAAATGCTTTAGAACTCATAATATAAGGATACATTAGAAGTATAGACAATATGACATGGTCAAAATAGCAAGATCTCACGCGCATGCACGTGCGCTGCACTCTGATTGGCTGAAACAAAAATCTCAATATCTTTTTTGTCTTTTGACGAAATGCTTTGAAATTTTGATTATAGCCATGCATTAGGATATCCTACAATATGATATATAGCAATTATCATGAAAACACGTGCATGCACGTGCGCTGCAATCTGATTAGCTTAAACTTTAAATAGCTATAACTCATTTGGATTTCAACCAAAGACGATGGGATTTGAAATATAGATAGATATTATAAACTACTACAAGAAGGTATGGTCACCATGCACATGGATACACGTGCATGTACGTGCGCTGCAATCTGATTGGCTGAAACTTTAAACAGCTATAACTCCCTTGGTTTCCAACCAAACAGGATGGGATTTGGAAAATAGATAGATATAAAGGACTACTACAAGAAAGGTATGGTCACCATGCACATGCGCACGTGCGTTTACGTGCGCTGCAATCTAATTGGCTGAAACTTTTAACATTTATAACGCCCTTGGTTTTCAACCATATGGGGTGGGATTTAGAACAAAGATAGATGTAATGATCTTCTACAAGAAGGTATGGTCACCGTGCTCATGTATGCACGTGCGTGCATGTGAAATGAACAAAATCAAAAATACACTTGAATGAGCGTATTTTTATTACTTTTGGATTAAATACTTAAATTTTTAGTTTATTAAAATATATGGATTGTGTAGACAAAATGATAAGGTCATTACGCACAGGCATTCGCATGCGCACGCATGCAATGCTAAAATTTGAATGAACTTCGTACACTTCCAGGTAAATGTTAAAGTCTCAAAAACATAGAGTTTGTCTTATTTAATGACGCTTACAGGTAATATGGCACAAAAAGAGAGTTGGGGAGCGTTTGGGGAACATCTGTAACGGTCCCCGTTACAATTAGCACTAGTTATTATTCTTATTATTTTTCTTCCTGGGAAAATTTTGTCCGCGAGTGATCTTGTAAACTACACATCCGACTTAGGTGAAACCTTTTTAGGGTAAGTAGGCATGTTATGTAGATTTGCGGAATCAAGGTCATTTTGCGCGCACGTGCTTGCAAGAGCGCGCACGTGCAAAACTTAAAATGACCAATATAAAATGGATATAACCGTAACTTTTCTATTTTGTGACGAAATGTTTTGAAACTTATAATGTAAGGATAAATTAGTAGTAAGCACAAGATGACATGGTCAAAATAGCAAGATCGCACGCGCATGCACGTGCGCTTCGCTCTGATTGGCTGAAACTAAAGTTTCAATATCTTTTTTGTTTTTTGATAAAATCATTTGAAATTTTGAACATAGTCATATATTAGGGAGATCTACAGTCTGTATTATAAGATTTATCATGAAAGCATGTGCATGCACATGTGCTTGCAAGAGCTCGCACGTGCAACACGAGAAATGTCCAATATAATTGATACAGACGTAACTATTTAAATTATTGATGAAATGCTTTGAAACTCATATTATAAGTATATATTAGAAGCATAAACAAAATGACATGGTCAAAAAAGTAAGATCTCACGCGCATGCACGTGCGCTTCGCTCTGATTGGCTGAAACTAAAGTCTCAATATCTTTCTTGTTTTTTGTCGAAATCCTTTGAAATTTTAAACATAGGCATGTATTAGGATATCCTACAATTAGATGTATAGCAATTATCATGAAAACGCGTGCATGCACATGCGCTGCAATCTGATTGGCTTATGCTTTAAATAGCTATAACTCCCTTGGTTTTCAACCAAACAGGATGGGATTTGGAACATAGATAGATAAAATGGACTTCTACAAGATGGTATAGTCATCATGCACATGCATACACGTGCGTGTACGTGCACTGCAATCTGATTGGCTGAAACTTTAAACAGCTATAACTCCCTTGGTTTTCAATCAAACGGGGTGGGAATTAGAACATAGATAGATGTAGTGGACCTCTACAAGAAGGTATGCCATCATGCTCATGTATGCACGTGCTTCTACGTGAAATGAGTAAAATCAAAAATACAGATTAATGAGCGTATTTTTTATATACGTTTGGATTAAATACTTTAATATTTAGTATATTGAAATATATAGATTGTATAGACAAGATGATATGGTCTTTACGCACATGCATTCACATGCGCACGCGTGGAATTCTAAAATTTGAATGAACTTGGTACTTTCTGGGTAAATGTTGTTAAAGCCTCAAATGCATAGAGTTTGTCTAATTTAATGAAGCTTACAGCTAGGGAATGTGGCACCAAAAGGAAGTTGGGGAGCGTTTGGGAACATCTGTAACGGTCCCCGTTACAATTAGCACTAGTTATTATTATTTTTCTTCTTCTTCCTGGGTACTTTTTTGTCCGGGAAAAATATTAAAATACACATCCGACTAAGGTGAAATGTTTTTAGGGTCAGTAGACATGTTATGTAGATTTGCGGAACGAAGGTCATTTTGCGCGCACGTGCTTGCAAGAGCGTGCACGTGCAACATGTGAAATGACCGATTTAATTGATATAGGCGTAACTTTTTTAATTTTTGATGAAATGCTTTGAAACTTATAATATAAGGATATATTAGAAGCATAGACAATATGACATGGTCAAAATAGCAAGATCTCACGCGCATGCACGTGCGCTTTGCTCTGATTGGCTGAAACTAACGTCTCAATATCTTTCTTGTTTTTTGACGAAATCCTTTGAAATTTTGAAAAAAGCCATGCATTAGGATATCCTACAACAAGATATATAGCAATTATCATGAAAACACGTGCATGCACGTGCGCTGCAATCTGATTGGCTTAGACTTTAAATAGCTATAACTCCCTTGATTTTCAACCAAACAGGATGGGATTTGAAACATAGATAGATATACTGGACTACTACAAGAAGGTATGGTCACCATGCACATGCATACACGTGCATGTACGTGCGCTGCATTCTGATTGGCTGAAACTTTAAACAGCTATAACTCCCTTGGTTATCAACCAAACGGGGTGGGATTTAGAACATAGATAGATGTAACGGACATCTACAAGAAGATATGGTCACCATGCTCATGTATGCACGTGCGTGCACGTGACATGAGCAAAATAAAAAAAGAACACTTGAATGAGCATATCTTTTTATTACGTTTGGATTAAATGCTTTAATTTTTAGTATATAAAAATATATAGATTGTGTAGACAAGATGATATGGTCATTACGCACATGCATTCACATACGCACGCAAAATTTGAATGAACTTTGTACACTTCTGGGTAAACGTTATTAAAGTCTCAAATGCATCGAGTTTGTCTTATTTAATGAAGCTTACAGAGAATATGGTACCAAAAGGGAGTTGGGGAGCGTTTGGGGAATATCTGTAACGGTCCCCGTTACAATTAGCACTAGTTTATCAATTAGATTATTTATTTTTTCATGAGATGCTGATTAAGATTAAGTATTATTCTACATAGACATTATAGGCAAGCGAGAGTATCCAGGAAAGATTTCTTTACATAGGAGAGAGGCAGGTAAGTGAATTTGTCGTAACTTATTACATGTATGCGCTAGTAGCATTTAAATACATAATATCGTACAGGCACTTGGGAGCTGACCCCCTCCCCCCTTTTTTCATTTTATTTTCTTTTTAAATCTAGGGTCGACACACCTTTTTCCATTTTTCAAGTTGGTAGTCTAATATGCACTACTTGGTATCGATAATGTAACCCTTTTGTCTCTTTAAGCCGTTTTTAAATTTATCTTTTTCGACTGATACATATAAAGAGAGTCCAAAATATAACCCTTTTGGGGGAGGTCAAGCCCCAAGTGCCTGTGGTATATCGTACAATTGTAATTGTAATTGTAGGAGTACGTGTAATTTTTTTTTTTACAATTTATAATTCCTCAATCTGTTCACGTACTGTGCATGCATACAGTCACTCATTGTCCTTGGGGGTTTAGTTTTCCGTGATTTTCGAGGTATATGACGAGATCCACGAATTTATGTCCACCATGAAATGTAATTTTATACAGGTCAGATGCTACTACCCAACCATCCTAAGTCCACGATGTTAAATCCACAAGAACCCATATATATTTTCTACAAACCACGAAAATTTGATCCCCACGAAAATATGTGATGTTTTACAGTGTAGTGCTTAACAATAGATGATAAAAACAAAAGACAATTGATGTATGGCTTAATTTACATGTTTTAAAGCTATTTTGATTACAAATGATATATTGTATACAGAGGCGTAGTCACAAACTTAAAAGTGGGGGGGCTTAACTCCAGAAATTCTTCGACAAGCAAAAAAAAAAAAAAAAAACAAACTAAAAGTGGGGGGGGGGGGGGAGGGGGCTCAACTCCAGAAATTATTTGACAAGCAAAAAAAAAAAAAAAAAAAAAAAAACCAGACTTAGAAGTGGGGGGCTCAACTCCAGAAATTCTTTGACAAGCAAAAAAAAAAAACAAAAAAAAAAACCAAACTTAAAAGTGGGGGGCTCAACTCCAGAAATTCTTTGACAAGCAAAAAAAAAAAAAAAAAAAAACCAAACTTAAAAGTGGTGGGAGGGGGGGCTCAACTCCAGAAATTCTTTGACAAGCAAGAAAAAAAAAAGAAAAGAAATGTTCCCCAAACTCGAAAATCCTATTTCGTGGGGGGGGGGGGGGGGGGGGGGGGGGTAGAGGCCAACTTTTTCAAAGGCAAGTTACTTTCAAATCCAATTATACAAGGGTCGAAAAGTGGGGGGGGGGGGGGATCCATTCAATGAATATTTCCTATAGTAAAGGTAATGTTGGGGAAAAATAGCTGTGATTTTGTTCTTCTTTAAAAAGTGGGGGGGCACAACATACTCTTGCCCCCCCAGATCTAAAAAAGTGCCCCCGCTGCCCCCCTGTGACTACGCCTATGGTATAGTTTGATTGCAGATGATTTATGATTAAGAAATAGTTAATTTATATTGATGCTAAAATATTCACTTTTTGGTCGTTGGCAGAAATCAACATTTTTGATAAGAATAATTATATTTTGGACTCCTCTTAATTTTTTTTTCTATATGAGGTGTCAAAAACCTAGTCGCGGATGATTTAAATTGGAATGGCATTATAAGGCTAATTTAAAAGTGACCTTTTCATTAAAAATTTCAAATATTTTTAATTTGCATTTCTAGTTAGATACAACCATTATAGTAAAAACGGACATGGTCCAAGGCCCTGTTTTCATTTTGGATGTCCTATTTTCCGGTGTCCAGAGGGCTTACGATTCGCCATATCACCCACTGGATGTGAAGAATGCAGATGTATTCCGATAGGTACAATTGTCTATATTTTCTTCGATGGGCAGAGTCTAAATTAACATTTGCTGAAGATCAAAGTGAGATTTATTTAACCTCAGATGTATATTATAATAATTGAATTCTGTCACTTAGAGAAAACTTAATTTTAATCATTTGCTTTACATTGAATTCTTTTTTTTATTTTGACACTTTAATATGAAGACCCTCCAACAACGTCGTCGCCTCAGATTTCAACAACAGCACCTGGTGAGATCATATTTATTTAAAATGAAAGTCAGCGTATATATTAAAATTTTATGTTCTTCTTCATCCTGTCTTTTTTTTTCCTTTCTGAGTAGGGGGTTCTTTGAAAGCTTTTCTGAATAATGCTACCAAATTGATTCTTACTCATATTTGTTGTCCTCAATATATCAAATAATATTATAATCATATGTATGTTGTTATTAATATATTTCATCATCATTGTTTCTCAATTTCCAGGAAACGAGAATTTTATACAGATGTACTGCCGGAAGGAGCCCTCTGATTGCCCGCCCGGATGTTCTGTAGTGGACTTCCGGGTCACAGATTGGCACTGTTATCACTGTCACTGCCCGGGTAAGAATTGAACAAATAGAAAACAAGATAATAAAGAAGAAAAATAATGAAATATTGCTGTGCATATTTTTTGCATCCTCACAATGTCATGGATCCTGAGTCGATCAATACGTTGCTGTTGGACTACCGACATACTTCTTTAGATATTATAGGGCTTGCTCCTCTCATTGAGAAGCGCAGTTTTCATTAGTTATTATTCATTAGATTATATAAACAGTAAGGATTCAGCTGACACCTCAAATGCTCGTGTTACAAGTTGTTAAATCATCGATGGAGTGGCTTAATGTGAATGTTTATTTGTTGAGAGATAAGAAAAACAATCATGCTTTGTAATATTTCCGAAAGGAGTCGCTTACAGCTAGCCCACAGATATTGAATAAAAGTAATTCAATATGCCAGGGGCCCAATGGCATTTCGAGGATGATATTTTGTTTAGTTGAAGATTGTGAGGGATAAAGTTTCTGGTCTCTTCGTCTATCTTCTATTTCCTGTATAACCTTGCCGATAACTTTTGAATGGTTGATGCTAAGGATTTAATATGAACACAAGACAAACCAGCCTTTTTATTTATTTTTACTTTTTGCCTTTATCTTTAAATTTGATCTTTAAAAACGTTTAATGAAACTTTGACATAAAGGAACCAATAGTTTTGACACCGTGATATTTACCCTTTGATACGACCTTCTTTTGAAACATTTTGGCAATATACCGGTATCTTCTGAAGGGTTGCTGCTACAGCTTTCTTTTGAGAAATTTAAACCTTCGCCATGAATTAACTACCAGATCTAGAAGAGGCATCGGTGTTACATGTACAAAAATATACCTTGTTTTTATTTATTTATTCAATACATTTAATTATTACATGTACATGTGTCATTTTTAATAAGCAAGATTTTTGAATTTCATTTTTCAGAAAACAATTACGTTGCACTACAAAAACCATGTGATCAGCAGAATTTCCTCTGTTCTTCCACATGTGCAGTCCGCAATCTTGTCAACTCTAAAAATCAAACGGACTCCTGCGAATTCTGTGATTGTACACCAACTGGTACGAGTACTTTTCTGAAGAAAAAAAACCCAGCCACTTGTGTCCTATTTCATATACACATTTCTTTTTGCATAAATTCCTAGAAAAAATAAAACGGCCCAGTTCGTCTGATTTAATCGTTTTCTTTTCATTAAATCTAATAATCATTTTTTTTTGTATTGTTAATTTGGCATCATGACCAAAGAAAAAAAATCTGACAAGGGCGAGATTTCTTTATTTTAGAATGGTTAACACAGTTACCTACTATGCCAGAAATAACATAATTGTTGTGTTGTTGTTTTTTTTCAGCCCGATATGGCAGGGGGCATAAGATATCCAAACGAGATACTCAATGTCCTATGCACTGTCCCCATTTCTGCCATTTCGGTCGGCAAAAGTCCTCTGATACTATTTTTCAAGCTCTTGGACGCCGCAAAAGACAAACTATGGGTTGTTTTGGAGATTGCAGCCATTGTCCATATAGTGAGAAAATTTTATCAGTTATTTTGTTCTTTGAATTAATTTTCAGCAACAATCTGTCTTTCAAAATTTGAAAATCTTAATGCCCGCCTTTTTAAAGAAATGATATTCTGAATTTATATCTTACCGAAATATTATAATTCTGCATCATTTCGACGTAAATCGTGAAATTCAGTTTACATACCACGGTAAATGTATTTAGCAGGTTTTGTTAATTGTCTTCCAAGAAATTGGTCCACTAAATAAAAGGTTAAGCCAGTTATAATTCTTAGCAAGAAATATCTATTTAAACAAATTTCCAAATTTCTTAGATTACTATTTTCAAACCAAAGAAAGTGGCCAAGGTGATGTTCGATTTGAAATTTTTTTCATAATCATCCGCTTATTTAGATACAGTGTAAGTTAGGGATATATCTTGATGTAAATAATTGTATTGTAATATTGTTACTTGCACATGTTGTTGACAGATAATCAACTACTGGAAGGAAATTTACAAACAACTATCCCAACATCTCCTTCCAAAGTGCGTGAGTATTTTTTAACAAAATAAAAACGAAAAAATCGCAAAGGCATATCTAAATAAAGTGCTTATTGCAAAGAATTTTCTCATCGCATTGTAGAAACTAATAAAGTATTTATTGGGTCGAACTGTTTACTTTCTTTGGTATGGTCTTACACATAAACTATGGAGGTAACAAACAGGTGCAGTATTCAATTTCAATTTCCATTTTAAAAAATGAATAAAATTCGTGAGAAGAGCAAACACGAACCTCAAAATCATTTGAGGCTGGCAGGATCGGAAGCCATGGAGAAATGAGTATCCTCTGTTTACGGTTACGGCCCGCCTTGTGCTTCTTCTCATAATTCAAGATTTAAAATCAAAACTACACATTTGATAATGAAATATGAAGATTCTTCGAAGACTTTGATATTGAAGTCATAGAAAAGTGTCATTTTGACAAAGTATGATATTTTAGGGGTTGGGGTGGAGGGAGAGGGGTATTTTTGTTTAAAATTGCGCTGATAGTATCATAGATTAAATTATGTATTTCATTATTTTGCTTAGCTTTTTAGGTCACCTGAGTAACTCAGGTGACCTATTGCTATCCGTTTTCGTCCGTCGTCGTCCGTCGTGCGTCGTGTGTCGTGTGTTAACATTTGAACATTTTCAGCTTCTTCTCTGAAACCACTGAACCAATTTCAACCAAATTTGGTATACAGCATCTATGGGTGGAGGGGAACAAAAATTGTGAATTTCATGGTCCCCACCCCCTGGGGCCTTAGGGGTGGGGCCAAAACCACTAAAATTAATGAAATCTTTAAAAATCTTCTTTACTCCTGGACATCAATCAGGCAAACTATAGGCATGAATGTAATGAGCATTGAGTCCTCTACCAAACTTGTGAAATTCATGGCCCCAGGATCAGGGGTTCTAGTGCTAGGGTGGGGCTCTATAGATTATATAGTGAAAATGCATTATTTCTTTGAAAATCTTCTTCTCTGCTCCTGGGTATTAAATACACTAACTAAGCACATAGTTATGATGAGCAAGAGTGCCTCTTCCAGATTTGTGAATTTCATGGCCCCAGGGTCAGGGGTTCTGGTGTTAGGGCGGGGCTCTATAGATTATATAGTGAAAATGCATTATTTCTTTGAAAATCTTCTTCTCTGCTCCTGGGTATTTAATAAACAAATTAAGCACATAGTTATGATGAGCAAGAGTGCCTCTTCCAGATTTATGAATTTTATGGCCCCAGGGTCAGGGGTTCTGGTGTTAGGGCGGGGCTCTATAGATTATATAGTGAAAATGCATTATTTCTTAGAAAATCTTCTTCTCTGCTCCTGGGTATTAAATAGAGTAACTAAGCACATAGTTATGATGAGCAAGAGTGCCTCTTCCAAAATTGTGAATTTTATGGCCCCAGGGTCAGGGGTTCTGGTGTTAGGGCGGGGCTCTATAGATTATATAGTAAAAATGCATTATTTCTTTGAAAATCTTCTTCTCTGCTCCTGGGTATTAGATAAACTAACTAAGCACATAGTTATGATGAGCAAGAGTGCCTCTTCCAGATTTGTGAATTTTATGGCCCCAGGGTCAGGGATTCTGGTGTTAGGGCGGGGCTCTATAGATAATATAGTGAAAATGCATTATTTCTTTGAAAATCTTCTTCTCTGCTCCTGGGTATTAAATACACTAAATAAGCACATAGTTATGATGAGCAAGAGTGCCTTTTCCAAAATTGTGAATTTTATGGCCCCAGGGTCAAGGGTTCTGGTGTTAGGGCGGGGCTCTTTAGATTATATAGTGAAAATGCATTATTTCTTTGAAAATCTTCTTCTCTGCTCCTGGGTATTAAATACACTAAATACACACATAGTTATGATGAGCAAGAGTGCCTCTTCCGAAATTGTGAATTTTATGGCCCCAGGGTCAGGGGTTCTGGTGTTAAGTCGGGGCTCAATTGATTATATAGTAAAAATACATTTATTCTTTGTAAATATTTTTCTTTGCTTTTGGGTTTTAAGCCAATGATCCATGTTATATATATTTTTGATGAAGAAAGGTGCATCTAGAAAAGTGGTTATTAATGCCCCCAGGGTCAAAAGGGGGGGGGGGGGTTACATAGCCTGAAAATAAATTAATGCTTTGAAATCTGCTCTTTGGTATTAATCAACCATTTTATGATGAAATTTGCAAAATTTTGAAATATATGGCCCTGGGTCAGTGGTTCCTTTGGGGTGAGGTGCACAACTGGTTATAAAGTGGAAGTGCATTTTCTCTTTGTTAATCTGATCTACCTCTGGGTATTAAGTAAATAGAGTAAGCATGCTAAGTTAATAATTATGATATGCAATGGTGCCTCTTTCAAAATTGTAAATTGTGAATTTCATGGCCGCCGGTTTACACACGAACCAAATTTAATTGTTTGAAAGTTGTTACACAATACTCAGGTGACCTATAAGGCCCGTGGGCCTTTGTTTTTCAATTCGTTGCTATGGAAGTCATTCGCTGGACTAACTTTGCTAAGTAATTGACTACTCGATACGGTTAAAAAAAAATTAAAAAATTCGTTATTTACTTCGACAGATATTTCGTAAGCATTTCAACTGATCCATGAATATTTTTTTTCAGATCATCCAGAACTACATTTCCCGAGGAACTGTTTCCAGGAAAAATCTGAATTTGTCAATAAGAATTGTGTGAGGACTTTTGAGCTAACTATATCTGGAAAAATGTGCCATATCTGTGAACTGTACAACACAGAAGGACAATTAGGTACTACTTTGTCATTTATTATACCACCATTACAGACATTTTAAGTGATAATTATTGGTAGTCATGAAGTGATAACCACACTGAGATCCCGTTTACTTACCCTTTCTTTTTTTTTAAACTGATCACGCATTTAAATATCAGTAACGATATTACATATAACAATAAATGCACTGTTAATTCATATTTTCAAATACATGTACATAACGTAAAAAATCTAACATTTGACAACAATTAAACAATGCCAATTGTATGACATTACAAATGCATATTTTAGCTTTAATACAGATCTCATCAGATCTTTGAATAAGATAGGACTGTTCTTTTTATAGAAAAAATGCAATCCCTTTTCAATTTATGTACACAATTATTTCAAATATTGGTTTATATAAATTGTATTTTGATTGTTTGATCAATTCACTTAAGTAAAGAAAAACATAAAAAGTGCAACAAAGCACATCTAGTTTTGTTAATTTAATAAATAGGAAGTTTATTTATAATTTCAATTAATATTCTGACAATACGATGAAAGAAGATTAGTTGCTATTAATACATCAATGTTTTTTACCCTTATTTACAAAAAATGCGTTTTTGAAACACTGAAGCCCCTTATAGCAGTTTATGACAAAGGTTAGAGTCTCTCAAATATACTTCAAACTTCAAGGTCAATTTTAAAGTTGAAGATTGTTGTTATCCAAAGAAGGGACTTGTCTCAATATTGTATCTTTGGAATCTGAGAGCCCAAATAACAACAGTTCAAATTATGGCCCAAGTTAGAGGTTTTAAAAGTAGATAATACTTCAAGGTCAAGGTGAAAGGGTTGAAATAAAAGCCTTCAGAGTAGGGCTTGATACAAGAAGAACCATGTGAAATGAAAAAGGATTAGCATCAACTGTTCAAAAATAATTTGCGAAGGGTAAAGATTTTCTAGAGGAAGTCAAACTTAAAGGTCAAGTTCTAAAGGTTAAAACTGTAGGTATACAAATAAGCGATAACAAAGGGAAAGCACCGCTTTAATATGAAAGCCCTAGTACAATAATTGCAAGAATAAAGGTCAACTTTGAAGGTTAAAGTATTTAAGTGAGTTTTACTCCATGGTCAAGTTCAAAAGATAAAAAAAAATGTATACTGGCTCGTCACATTGAAAACACATGAGATGTGTGAAAACCCTTGCAATACATTTAAATAAAGTTATTGCCAAGGTTAATTTAAATCAATTTAACATACCCTTTAGATGAAGGAAACTATATACAAGACACAGATGCTAGTGATGTTTTTGTAAATGTTGTACAAACGCCAAGGTCAAGGGCAAAAGGTTAAATATATTTGTACCCCCGAAATAGTCTTGTCAAAATGAATGCACAAGACCATTTGAAATGCATAACTCAAACCAATAAAATATTATGGGTAAGGAATTTTAAGTCTTTGCGAACAGACATAGCACGGAGTAATGAGTAATGGGTATGAAAGTATTTTCTTAAATTTATTTCTAGTCGGTAATATCCTTTCAATTATGAGACTTTGGCACCTTATTTATATATCTTTTATGTACAACTAATCAGCTACATGATCATTTTTACTATATATGTAGAAATAATAATTATCGTGTGAGTGTTCTTTCTTTCAGTATATTTAGAGCACTCCAGGCATGGTACGTATAAATACATTTTTACGGTACATCGCAAGTCTAAAATGAATTTTTAAAAGAAAATCGAACATCTACATTTTAATTTAACAAGAGGCCCAGGGGCCACAGCGCTCACTTGAGCACATCGGCCTTGAATTTAACACCCCCATGCGTTCATCATTTGAACAAACTAGAATCTACACTATCTTAGGATGATTCCATATAAATAACACTAATCATAGCTTTGAAGTGCTTGAAAAGAAGATTTTAAAAGGTTTCCCGATATATCCCTATGTAAAACTTGGGTGGGCCATTTTGGCCCCACCCTAGCCCCAGGGGTCATGATTTAAACAAACTTGAATCTACACTACCTGAGGATGATTCCACATGAATTTCATCTTTCCTGGCCCAGTGGTTCTGGAGAAGAAGATTTTTAAAGATATTTTCCTATATATTCCTATGTAAAACTTGGGTCGGCCATTTTGGCCCCACCCTAGCCCCAGGGGTCATCATTTGACCAAACTTGAATCTACACTACCTGAGGATGATTCCACTTGATTTTCGTCTTTCCTGGCCCAGTGGTTCTGGAGAAGAAGATTTTTAAAGATTTTTCCTATATATTCCTATGTAAAACTTGGGTCGGCCAATTTGGCCCCACCCTAGCCCCGGGGGTCATCATTTGAACAAATTTGAATCTACACTACCTGAGGATGATTCCACATGAGCTTCACCTTTCCTGGCCTAGTGGTTCTGGAGAAGAAGATTTTTAAAGATTTTTCCTATATATATTCCTATGTTAAACTTGGGTCGGCCATTTTGGCCCCACCCTAGCCCCGGGGGTCATCATTTGAACAAATTTGAATCTACACTACCTGAGGATGATTCCACATGAGTTTCATCTTTCCTGACCCAGTGGTTCTTGAGAAGAGGATTTTTAAAGATTTTTCCTATATATATTCCTATGTAAAACTTGGGTCGGCCATTTTGGCCCCATCCTAGCCCCAGGGGTCATCATTTGAACAAACTTGAATCTACACTACCTGAGGATGATTCCACATGAGTTTCATCTTTCCTGGCTCAGTGGTTCTTGAGAAGAAGATTTTTATAGATTTTTCCTATATATTGCCCTGTTATATTTCGTTCGGCCATTTTGGCCCCACCCTTGCCCCGGGGGTATCATTTGACCAAACTTGAATCTACACTACCTGAGGATGATTCCACTTGAGTTTCATCTTTCCTGGCCCAGTGGTTCTGGAGAAGAAGATTTTTAAAGATTTTTCCTATATATTCCTATGTAAAACTTGGGTCGGCCATTTTGGCCCCACCCTTGCCCCGGGGGTCATCATTTGAACAAAGTTAAATCTACACTACCTGAGGATGATTCCACATAAGTTTCACCTTTCCTGGCCAAGTGGTTCTTGAGAAGAAGATTTTTTTAAAAATGCCATTAATTTTTCTCTAATTCATAATTATCTCCCCTTGGAAAAGGGCGTGGCCCTTCATTTGAACAAACTTGATTCCCCTTCACCCAAGGATACTTTGTGCCAAGTTTGGTTGAAATTGGCCCAGTGGTTCTTGAGAAGAAGATGAAAATGTGAAAAGTTTACGACAACGACGACAACGACGACAGACAACGGACAAATTTTGATCAGAAAAGCTCACTTGAGCCTTCGGCTCAGGTAAGCTAAAAATAAGCACCTGTTACGTTGTTGATTGAGATTGTTTGAATTATATCTGTAGAATAATGTACCGTGTTCATGCATTTCTATCAATTTTAGTGACGGCTGATCATTGTTTTACAAGCAAATACAGAGAATTTCTAACAAACATTTGTGCGCATGTCTCGGAAGTGCATACGAGCAGTGACGTTTGTCTCCTTTGTACTTATAAAACTCAGCAAAACGAAAGTAAGAATCATTTCTGGTTGTAGTTAACCTCATGGTAAACTATCTTTAATACATGTACAGTATACATAAATTTTTAGGGATATAAGCTATGTTTTAGTAAAGGATTTTTAAATCTGGTGACATTTCAGAAACACTGTGTTTTTCACCCTCCTTGTATTCTGTGATATTATTACATATTACTACTGAAAAGTAATTCAAGTTCATTGTCAGTTGAATAAGAATAAGATTTTTGTCTGGGCCATTTATTTGTAAATCAGAATCACTAAAGCTCATACTTCGTAAAGGTAAAAAGTATACGAGTAGTGTTATAAGTGTCATTCACATAATCAACCTGGAGGCTTGGATACAGTACGAACACCAAAAGGTGTAGAAAATTATGGGGTTTCAATATATGTCATACCCGCTATTTTTCAATCTGCTAAATTCCTTCTCATTTTTTTTTCTCAATATTTTACCCTCATGAATGAATCGTAGATAATATAATATTCGATGCCTCAGAAGTATCGATCGTTTAATTTGTTTTTTTTAAATATAAATAATAAAAATAATATTTCCTTTTCATTTAGAATATACATAAGCAAGTGTACAAAGAAAACGGAAAGCTATACATAAAACCTGCACATAAAAAAACAATTTCAAACAATACATAATTATCTTATTTCAAAAATATTCTCGTAAAAAAAAACATTTCACGAAAATAACCAATAATTTCTAAGAATACATTAAAGATGTGTTACTTAACGAAAAGCCAACACTCGTTTATCATGAAATTGACATCTCTTTAAAGAGAACACTGTCACAAAATCAAGGAGTAAATTTGATTTGTCTGACAGTTGGTAATGATCTCGGATACAGAATCTGTTGATAATGTTGCTGTAGAGGTCATTGTTCTGTGTTCTAAGTATCGTTACGTAACTTAAGTATATTATAGACAACACTTTAATGGGTCACTTATCATGATTTCTGAACAAATTTTATAATAAATTAAATAACGATATTTATGTTCTTTTTCTGCACTAAATTACCGCCCACAGAAGTATTAAATTGCATCAGAACTTTTTAGTGTACGTACGTATTCTTTGTCTACATTTTTCATATATAAAAGAATACTGCTGTTACCTTTTTCTTTGAATAAGCTAACCTAAAATATAGAAGTAGGTGTGAGAACTTGGAATTTAGCATTTAGTAGCACAATTGGAGTTGGGAACAACCTAGAAAATGTCTTAAAGTTTGTCGATTGTTGTTTTCAATAGTCAAGCAAATTTCATTATGATCACTCTTTTCTTGATTTTCAAATTTTAGTTATCATCCTACAAAGGAATCAACTACAAACAATTCTACAACAGAACCATATATCAATTCAGCAAACTGAATCACCTAATACTCACAGAACAATAACATCAACACCAACCTTGTCAACAAAACATTTTACAACAAAAGAACAAACAACACATAAAAGGACAACTGAATCAATACCAACGACAGTTGTTACGTCACGAGATACCATACCAACAACAAAGGTCACAACAACAGTAGCGCCACCTAGCACAACAACGAAAGCAGCGCCACCTACCACAACAACGACAGTAGCGCCATCTACCAAAACAACGACATCCACACCTAGCACAACAACAACATCCACACCTAAGACAACAACAGTAGCGCCACCTATGTGTCACACTTGTAGTAACGTCACGTGTTCGTCGGCAGATCTACAGGAGTGTAATACTGGATCAGAGTACTGCATGAATACGTTGATACAACAGAGGGATGGTAGCAGAATAATCACCCGAGGGTAACAATTTACCATTTTGTGTCCATCAAATATTTAATATACTCTATACGTAGCAGTAAATTTGACAAATTTATTTAGAATATATGTGATTTAAATATAAAAGCAATCAAACAGACGATAATTATGAACTTATAAAATTGAAAGTTTATTTGATAGCATATAATAGTCGATATAACTACAAAGTACTTAATGATAGTGTAATCGAACAGCATTTTTGCATGAAACCCTCCTAAGTTTTTATCTCTATAAAGTTCTATTTATATAACTAATTTTTTTCCCATTTTTAATACAAAAATGGATAATATTATAGCATACATTGAGTATACATGTAAAGGTAAAACTCAACAGTTCTTGTAAACAAAATCACTTGCAGCTATTATTGTTTACTTAACATATTTTAAAATAGAAAGCCTTTTTAATATAGATGTGTTTCGGAGGATGAGTGCTATAACAAATGGTGGATCGTTTCCGCTGATAATCCGTCCTGTCTATCAAAGAAGAACACGCCCACCGGAAGGCCAGGTGCACCAATCGAATGCAACTACTGTTGTAAGGGGGCGGGCTGTAATCAGTTGATGAGAATTCCTGACAGCTTGTTATACACTGGCGAAGACCATCCATCTAATGCTATGGGCGGGATAATACAAATTGGATAATCAAAAATATTATTGAATCAGAAAATATGACTTCATCAAATGAAAATCTCACTTTCATGTATGTATTGAACACGATTAATTATTACATAAGGCCATCTTTAAAACAAATGTTTGGTTGCCCTCTTCCGACCTACTGACTAAAAAATGGCCTGACTCAATTTTTTTTTTTTTACATTCCAGGACACATTATTTCTTTTATTCCCCTTATCCTGTCGACAAATATGATTAATTTTTCTGGAAAAAAGATTTCTGACATACTTACCTACCCAATAAATTTACCCTGAGTTGGGAGAGGGCAACAAAACATTATTTTCAAGATGGCCTGAAATAACTTTTTTTCAATCCATGTTCTAGCTATGTGAAAATACACTTATAAGGGCAATTTAAAGACTAGCCATGTGTTTATGGTATCTGTCAATGAAATGCTATTATTTATTAATTTTATAGCAATTATTTTATTTCAATACGACAATGAACATTTGACAGTAACGCTCTGTCAATTTATGTTCAAATAAAGCAATATAACCAGAAGCCTGTCACCTTATATTTCATATACTAGTAATTCAGCTATACCGCCCATATTTTGGTCTTGGTTTGATATACATACAAAATTATCATCAAGGCATACAAAAGATATACTGGAAATGTGTTCATAGATTTATATAAATAAAATTTGTTAATAACAATTATTACATGAATGATTTCTATTTCTCTGATTGGAAGTACAATATTCACCTCGCCCCTCGGGCTTGGTGAACATTGTACTCCTCAGGTGGCTAAATCATCATATTGATCTAAAAACAGCAATAATTTAACGTCCATACCTTTACTTAGCACTTAGGCTCAGCTCTGTTTTGTATAAAACGTAGACTTTGTCGTCTTCTGTCTTGACCTCGTGTACCTCTTGCTGACATTCAAAAAGTTAAACAAATCAACTGTAAGTATATTCATGCGTGGATCTAGCGGGGTCTATTTCTTCCCCCACTTTTGAGGATTTTACGACATTTTGCTCTAGTAATATAAGGAAAACAAGAGGCATAGATGAATGCAATCTGCTGATTTAGAAACGTATTTCAAAGAAAAACAGTCACAATACCTAATTGCAAGGACTATATAACTATTTTTTTCAAATATCTAGACTATTTTCTACTGTATTTTCTAAAGAATCAGGTTATGGCTAATTAACATCGCAAAAATTAACTTTATGCAGCAATTGAATCTTAAGGAAGTTCTTAATTAACTTAAGATTTTTAGAGCTTGTTGCATCAGTACATGTAAGAGACATTATCAGACATTCAATTCAAAATTGCCCTAGAATCAATGAAATGGAGTGGATAATGAATAGAGATTGGATGAAGACTCAGCTGTAATAAATGCAAATTTGTTATATATAACTGCCACGTCAATTGGAGAGAAGAAAGTCCATAACTTTACCCTAAGTCCTATTTCATTCGTTCCGTCCTGGAGATCAAACATGTACCCGTGCCAAGGACACATGATGTGGCATCTTCCTTTGTAATCTTCAATTTCTCCGCTGAACAGTGGACCACCTGTATAAAATTAAGTTTTATTAACATTTCTTTCTCAACAAATTAAATGAATTCCTTTGTTTCTTTAATTAAGCTTCAATTGTAAAACAAAATGGCACATTGCATGTATTTGGAATCAACAGAGAACAATACAATCGTGTTCGAAAAAGTTACAAAATCTTTTTATTCATGTATATAATTTGGATCACAGACATCAAATCTTCAGTCATGAGAAAATTTCTTGGAAATCAAAAATTAGAGAACTATTTCTCTCTATATGTACATGTATATAACGGCCCCTTAACCATTTTGCTCCCTATTCCTCTCTATCTTCTAATTTACACATTAACCATGCTTCTATTAAAAGTAAACCATCTATTTTTTTTTTTTTGAGTCTTTAAAACCACCGTTAACATAATTAAGATTCGTATGCCTCTGTTCTTCAAAGTGAAGAAAAAGGGATTCATGTCTTTCTCCATGATCTCCTAAAATAAAGTACATAAAGCAATCTAAAAAAAATGTAGGACTAGGACGCTAAACATGCTGAACGAATCTCACCTAAATGTGAACACCAAGCCTCCATGGCATAAAACTTTCCCTCGTGATAAAAAAGCGCCAAATCGTAAACTTTCCCGCCAGTGGAATACAACCTCTGACATTTCTTTTTGGCCAATTCTTCCTTTGTCCCTAGATATCTCCACTCTTTACCAGAGTCGTCCATTTCCAGTGTTAGTCTTTTACAGGTAGCAACTTCTCTTGATGAAGGTGACAGATTATTCCTGTTACGTCAGCACGCGTACTTAAGGATTCTGATGAGTTCGGAAGAGACTGTTAATTGCTTTGCGGATCAATACGGATAACTGCTTTCGCTTATCGGAACGTTATCGATTACATGGCTTCAGCTAATATTCCTGATTGTCGTGTGATGGACCTATTTGAACCTGAAATTTTTTTTTTTCTTTTGCATAATACGTCATTGATTTATTCGTGCAAACATGCAAAGCGCTAATGAAGAAACAACCGGAACTCCTCGGATGTCATGTACACTCCATTGCGAGACATCCGAGGAGTTCACTTCTTACGACGAAATGCATGATTGTAGGATTGAAAAAAATGTGCAAAAATGCAAATACAACATATTTTTGATTCATATTTTCACTGAGTGTTTCAAACCACATTTTAAGCTTTGGATATTATGTTATTTTTTACTAGGATAATTCCGTCTACCTGCAATACATCAGCAGGGAGTTGCCGGTCCACAGGAGATGTTTACTCCTCCAAGGCACCTTATTCATGTTCAGGGGCCTCAAAACTTTAATGGGTCCACTTATTTCGCTATTTATTCCTTTGAATAATAAGATTTAGTCTTACATGTATATCAAACGTAAGCTTGTATAAATTTTATGGACACCAAAGTTGATCCCACTTCGGTTTTCAGGAATCCATATTTTCTGTCTCGACAACCAACTATATTATAGCATTTTAAAGATTTTTATAATTTTATATAAGTTTTTACCTGGTATCTTCAATTATTGATTTATTAAAGTTTTAATTTATTTTTTTTATTCATTGTACAGTTTCCATATACATAAAATTGATAATAGATTGATATTGTTTCTTTAAAATAAGATAGAGAAAAGTTCCACCAAAGAAGCAATCGGAACCCCTAGAATGAATTGTACAATATTTATTTTATTTATTTACTTTCACGATTTCTGTCCCTTACATTGCATATATAGATGATACACTTCCGTTTTATTCTTTAGCTTTTATTTATTTATTTATTCATTGATTTATTTCTCAATATACTTATTTATTTTTTTTTTTTATTTTCATGTTTTTTTACGGATCCTGTAAAATAAAGGATATTTTGGTGGAAGCTTTCCTCTTTAAATGGAGATGATATTCTAATATTGAATATTAAAGATCAATTTGACTTTCAACAAATATTTTAGTAAAACGAGGTGATCTTTTTTTTACTTTTCTTTAACAGTAATACCAATTTTTGAATAACAGATGAAAAACTAAAAAAAATAATTCGAAAACAAAATTTTATTTTATAATGATAATGCACTCTATTTCTTTCACAAAATATTCTTTTTATTTGTCTCTCGACATAAAATCAGAGAATGTAAAAAAAAAAAATACTTCCGGAATTTAGAGACCTAGGAGTCGTTGTAGAGGGATCACGATTAGGAATTTAATATATACTTTTTTCCGTCTAGCCCTCATAAATATTTGGATATAGAACTTGCTGCACTTCCAGCCATAAACTCTTTTTGACTAAAATAATGAGCACGACAAACTAGTACAAGGTAATGTCACTAAGACAAAACACAATAATCTAATTAACAGCCTGTAATACGACGAAAAAAGACCTCCAGTGTTTTGTAATTATTTTGTGTGTGTAGAAATGTCGTGTTTGTAACATATAGGTGTCTACTTAGTATTACCGTACCGTGAATGGATAAATATTTTGTATGAACCATAATTTTGAAGCGTTTATATGAAATTTTTCTCTTAAATATTTTTTTTATAAGGAAAAAAAGAAGTCGATCTGTTTTGGTTTCAATTTTTTTAATTTACGGAAATTATTACAATGAATATTGGACACGATTCTCGAAGAAAAAGGAATTGTGATTATTAATCCGCATTATATTTTAATATGGATTTCTTGATATTCCTCGCCCACATACTGTTCTTCTTCGGTGACCTTCACCCTGTGAAAGGTCGAGGTCATCTTATTGACCCCCCTATGAGGTCAAGCCTGTGGAGATATTATCCCTGGAATCAGATGGGTGTCCCTAAAAATGCGGACGATACCGGTCTGAACTGCGGGGGATTCTGGGTAAGTTTGTACAGTATATAAAACTGCGGGGGATTCTGGGTAGGTTTTTATGTAAAACTGCGGGGGATTATGGGTAAGTTTGTATATAAATGCAAAAGATTTAATTTAATGAAATTAAGATAATTTTTCCCCGAAATGTAATTATGATTTTTAATTAGACGAACTATATTTAATTTTGAAGTTTAAAAGAAATGTTTGAAATATTCTGGGTAAGTTTGTACAGTATATATCACGTAATTATGTAAAACTAACATTGTAAGTTTTTATAAATATTTCTGCAGGGGAGTAAGTAAATTTTATATAAAGCAAAAGATTAAATTGAATACACTACATAACGAAATGTAATTATAAAAGATGAACTATATTTAATTTTGAAGTTTAAAAGAAATGTTTGATATTCTTAAGATAATCGTACATGTATATCACGTAATTATGTAACTAACATTGATTTATTTTTCTTCCGATTTTGTGAACCTGTACTTTATATAAATTACATAACTTAACCTATTTGTCCCTTAAATGTAATTATAATTTTCACAGGAAACATATGTAAATTCGAAGTTAAAAAGAAATATTTTATATTCTGATAATTATTTTCAATTAAATTCAAATTACTATATATTTCCTTGCAATCTTAAGCTATTATTTAACATTATATTTACATGGAGTTCAGATAATGGTTAATCAAATGATCAATTTTTCACCTCAAGGGCATGGTTCTATTTGTCCAAAAAATATATTCAAGTCATATACATGTACAATTATTTGTAACAGGCTTTTGATACAAGCAGATATTGATGTTAAACTGTCCCAAACATCTTACCAAGGTATTATATACATGAATTGTATAGCCCAGTTTTATTCTGTTCATTTATAATAACATCAGTTAGTAAAAAGTGTTAAGTATTTTCCAATGGACAGCAGGCTGTATGAATCTAGGAGTTAAGTACGTTTTCCCTATATTTTTTCTATTATTTCAGTCTTTTTAATCATTCAAATTTCCCCAATAAACATTAAGTTATGAGTTTTTGAATTAATTTTTTATTAATATATCAGTCATTTATTATTTATATATTTTCAAATTCTCTTAATCGTTATTATATTTCTCAGTCAAATGTATTAAAATAAGTTTTATCTTTCTTTAAAATGTTCACAGTAGTAGGAAGGGAGGTAAATAGTGTTTATCTATTTATTTTTTTAATACCATTCAAAATCTTATATAACCAAAGTAAATTGGAATGATTTAAAGTTATCTTTTTGCTCTTTTGTCCATTTGAATGTTTTAAAAGTTGCATATTATATTCAACACATTTTTTACCACCCTCAATAGCGGCTGCATGAAATTAACAACGGAAGTTGTGGGCTTTGTGGAGACCCGTATGACCAAAACCGCCGAAACGAGGCTGGGGGAATATACGCCAATGGCTACATCGTCCGGAAATATTATCAAGACGACGAATTCCTAAACGTGACGGTGGACATTTTAACGAACATAGGGGGATACTTCGAATTCCATCTCTGCCCTAACAACAATGTTTCAGAAACAATTACCCAGGAATGTCTAGACAAGTATCCGCTGACGATTGAGGGATACGGGAGTAAATATGTTCCGAATAATCCCGGGGAACACAATTTGTTTCTAAAAATACCGGATGGCGTCACGTGTTCGCAATGTGTTCTTCAATGGAAATGGGTTGGAGGTACTTATTTTTAAGATTTTGAAAATTACTTTAGTATTCATATTCATCGAAAGCATTTTAGGGTCAATGTTAATATTTTTATGCAAATCTTAAAGAATCCAAGAAAATGTCTATTCAACATGATTATTTTATTTTTTATAGTGAAACATTATTGAAATAGATTTTTTTCTTCATTTATTTACATGTATTTAATTTAGACACATTTAATGCATACTGATCTTCAGATAAAAGTGACAACTCAACCAATTCTTTTACTGTTAGCATTTCTTGGTAATTTATATTTCTTTTAAAAAATCATGATCATTAGGCCATATTTTATATACTTATATTTTTTTAAAAATAGTTGATAAACGCTGATTTAAAATATTTTGTGTTTGACAGGAAACAACTGGGGAACCTGCGAAGATGGGTATGGGGGCCTTGGTTGTGGAAAACAGGAAGAATATTACAACTGCGCAGACGTCGCTATCCTTCCACCTTCCGCTAACAGAACGAGGTCAGCTCGTCCTGGATATGTAGACCGGAAGTACTTGTTCACTACAACGACGCAGAATCCCATGATGCCAATTCTTCCTCCATTCATACGGCGGTCAGAAAAATTCAAGAAATTTTATAAAAAATATTTAGAAAAAGTTATGAATGGAATGGTAGCAGGTAAATGGTCAGATAATGCTGTTTCCAGGTTGGATTATAATCTTGAGAAGCAGAAACTAACCAACCAATCGAAACAGAGTTCGTATTGGATGCCGAACAGAATTTCCGACTTCCGCTTGACTGGACAGTATCCAGATTCGTCGATGCCGTCTTTATCAATCAATGTTCCGGATTCATTTAAAGGGAAGACAGAATATTCATTCTTGGATGTTGTGAGAAATAGCTTGAAGTTTGGAAATTTTGACAGCAATTTTAAAAGTTTAGAAGTCAATGATTTTGTTACTGGACGACCTGTTTATCTGCCAGAGGCTACTCTAAATATGCCGTTACCTCCCACTCAGACTATAGCCACCCTAAAACCGGCACCGATTACAGGTAAGATCCTTCCTTGATGGTAGGCCCAAAATTATAGCCCTTTCCCGACCGACTGACTAAAAATGGACCTACCTACTACCTACCTAGTCCTTGCTGCACCCGGAGGCACATAGGGCAAGGACTAGGGATTTCCATTCCTCTCTATTCTTTGCAATCTTCTCCACCTCTCCCCAGGTGAGATTTATCTCCTTTAGTTCTTTCTCCACTGTTCGCCTCCATGTTGTTTTTGGTCGGCCTTTCCTTCTCTTCCCTTCTGGGGTCCATCTGAGTGCCACTCTTGTGATGTCATCTGTTCAAGACATGGCCTATCCACCTCCATCTATATTTTAAAAGGTCCTCATGTCTGTTGTTTTAGTTGTTTCATGCAAATCTTTGTTGGTTATTTTTGCTGGCCAAAATATCCTCAAGATCTTTCTGAGGCACCCATTATGAAAACTTGATAGTTTCTTAATGTCACTTTCAGTCATCCTCCAGCATTCAGCACCATACATTAAAACAGATAGGACACAGCTATTATACAGTTTGATCTTAGTATGTCTGCTAATTCTTGACTTCCATATGTTTTTTTTGACAAAGGCTCCTCTGGCTTTACCTAATCTTGATATTATGTCCTTGTCAGCTCCGCCATCTGATGTTACCACACTTCCCAGGTATGTAAAATAATCTGTATTTTTTATATCTCCTCCATTCAATTGTATTTTGGGTGGGCTTTTTGTATTAAGGGACATTACTTCTGTTTTCTTTATGTTGATGTTCAATCCGATTTTGCTGGCATTTGTTTGTAAATTAGATGTTTTTCTTTGCATTTGTGTTTCCAGATGAGATAATAAAGCCAGGTCATCTGCATAATCTAAGTCCTCTAGTTTGTTGAAAAGAGTCCATTTGCCGGTATTCTCATCACTAAGGGTTGATCTCATTACCCAGTCTACTGCTATAATGAACAGTAGAGCTGACATCACACATCCTTGTCTCACTCCTGACTTAACAAGAAAGCTTGTGTTTGATGAACTACCAATAGAGTATTTAAATTCTGCATAAAATATATGCTTTTATTAGGTCAACTAGTTTAGATGGTATACCGTAGTGCCTCAGGATTTTCCACAAACTGTCTCTGTGAATGCTATCAAAAGCTTTTTCGAAGTCAATGAAGTTTATGATGAGTTTTCTTTGCCACTCTGTGCACTGTTCTATTATGTTTCTTAGTACAAATACTTGGTCACAGCATCAAGTTTTTTAACTGTCTTTGCTTACAATTATTTTACTGAATATCTTGCTTGTATAGAAAAAAAAGTTGTTACAGTGTGTGAGGTCTCCTTTCTTTGGTAGTTTGATGATGCTACCTTCAGACCATGTTGTTGGTATCATGTTGTACTTCCAAATGGACCGGTTCGACTTAAAACTTTTTTTTACATTCTAGGTGAAAAAATTCTTTTTATTCCTCTTATCCCTTCAACAAATCTGTTTGAAATTTTCTGAAAGAAAGATTCCCACCTTCCTACAGCCACATGTATCGACCCAATAATTTTACCCTGAGTCGGGAGAGGGCAAGCAAACATTATTTTAATGATGGCATTTAAAGGCGATTTTTTTTTAAATCTCCCATGCAGAGTTGTCGTTCGTTACTCTCGGACACTTGTTAAATTGGCTTGTGTCAAAATTTTTGATATAATGTAAAAAAGCTTGATATTCTAAGGATTAATTAAATTTAAACCAATAGCTCTGAAGCTAATAGTAAATATTTATCTTAGAAAACAAACTTCAAAGCAAATTGTAACAATTTTTATGCTGTTGGTTTTTTTTAAAGTTTCTTCAACTACCGAAAGGCCTACAACACGTTCGCTGAGCCAAAGCAACTTCCTCCACCAAGAGTCCCATCAATTTGTTTACAGTCCGTGGGTAACCGCAGCTCCTCAAACCACGCTGTCACCTGTAATTAACACCATTAAAAACACACCAGCGGCACAACCAAGAACTAAAGCGCCATCTACAACCAGCTCCGTGGATCCTAACAGAGTTATGTTTCCTGATTTTGACTACGAGCAAATTCGAGCTAACAGAATCATTGCGCAAAGAATTCCATACTCTCTTCATAGGTCCGCACTTCAGACACCAATCAATCCGGTTACGTCATTTTTAAATTCTATTTTTAACGTCTTTGCGCCCTCTAGTGTTGATTACATGTCTGAGAATCCGTTTAATTACGATTCGACCTTTAGTGACGTCATGTATCCAAATTATGCTAATGACGTTTTATTTTCAAGTGTTGATCCTCAATCTAAATTCGGGAACAATGTTGATAAGAAGACAAACAACTTACAAAGCACGCAAGAAAAGATTATAAAATCTAAACCAAAAGACGTCGTTAAAGCTAACTCGAATGGTTTACTCTCTGCAAATGCACCGAAAGCAAATTCTTTTATTTCGCGTGGATTATCGTCTGGAACGGAAGTGCAACAATCTGGGAACGGAAGAATATCTCCAGTAGTGAACAAAATCCCTAATCAGCCGGATATTTCTACGCGACAGCTTTCTAACAGTGAAGGGAACCCTGGTGCGGGATTGAAGGACTCGACAATGAATAGACTTCGTTTTAGTGGCAATATGTTCCTGTGATGAAAAAAGAAGTCCAGACACAAGTTCCATTTAATAAAGTTTTAACTTTTTTGTTCCACAGGGTGACTGCACTTGACGCTGTGGTTTGGGTCCTTTTCGGTTGTTTCTGCTGCTTTTAAATATTTATCAATCTAATTTCACAAAATGGGCATCCTCATTATTATCAATTTCAGGCAAGTGTGCAGGTTTGCATTACATCACAACCTATGATGTCAGCTGCGCTCAAGGTAAGTAGTACACGCCTCCTAACCGCAAGCTTTAGGGTTGGATGTTTCTGCTAATCCCTGATTGGTTGCAACAGACTATTTCATTGGGGATGTTGATAATATGAGTTGACCAATAACATAGCGGGGGCGTAAATTGTTAACGTTGTATGCATCTGTCGAAAAAGATCGTGACGTAATGCAAAACGGCACACTGAACTGAAATTAATAGTATCGTACGGATATTTAAAAAAAAAATTGTGATGACCTTCGCCTTAGAAAACAGAATCGTACTTCGTTAATACATACATGTACGAGGGTTGATCTAAAAGTTCGTGCAATTTCTTCATATTTTATTTATTTATTGGTGAAAGTGATTGAAAATTACAACTGAAAAAATATACCCTTTGTAAATTTTTATAATAAAATATTTTAAATATTACTCATAGTACTTAACACTTTGACAGTTGCCATAAAAACGGAGTTTGAAAATGCAGAGGAGACATTCACTCTTTTATATAAAGTAAAACTGTCTATTTTTTTTTTATTTCATGATTTGATCAAACCGAAGGCGTTTATTCATGAAATTATCCCGCAAGACAATCAATTGATCATCGTCATGAGATCAAAAAAATCTGACAGTTATTCCTCATATTTACATGCTCTTGATTGGACGCTAATCCACGTGCTACAAGCCCCGCATATGTCTCTATCGCTTCACGCCCAGCCCTGCACGTGATTTTTTTTAACCGCGCCTATCGATGAACCAGTACACTGATGGAGCAAGAAAGAACATTAACTATTTGTTATTTTATCTCGGACAAAGACACTGAAAATGTAAAATTTACATTTCCAATGTCTTTGTCCGAGATAAAATTACAAATACTGTATTTTCAATTCCAAATATTAAAAGTTAGAAAAATGCGCTAAGTGACATATAACAAAAATTTCATGTCATTATTACGATTGCTTGACCTCTTATAAATCTCTGTGTTACGGTTTTACTGATTTTACTGGATATTTAATTTATCATTTGATGATTTGTCGTTGATCGTGACATAAGGAGACAACGTCAAAATTCGTTTAAGTTATACGTTTAAACTAGTGAAAATCTTGACAACACTCTATATATAATTTAACCGCATTCATTACTACATGTAATACAGGCTGGACAAATATACTGTAAGCAATTGAAGAAATTTAAGGAAAATAAAACTTCCATGGAGATTGATAAAAGGTTGGCCTCCTATTTGAAGGTCGTTCTTTCCTTGTAGACAAATTAAGCGTTAAAAGACTGGACAGCCATGGTACTGTGCTTGACATTGCTACTGAAAGTGAAATCGGAAAATCATTAGGAAAGACGGAGAGTATATAAAAAAAATAATTGTAATATGAAGATTTGTGTGTGTGAAAGGATACAAAGGTTAATCTTGAGAAAAGAAATGGAGGGAAATGGGGGTGATCTGTAGAACTTCTTTGCATATTGTCGCTTTGGACGTGAAGACGAGATGTTCCTTTAACAAGACATGACATACCTAACTTGACGTTACGTCGTTCGAAGTCTCCCCCGGATTTCACAAATATCCATGTTCAGAAACCTCCTCTGACTTGTATGGTAATTGGAACGTTATGAAATTTTCCAGTATTGTAGCATAATTGCTCTATTTTGTAAATATGCATATTGTTTGATTTTATCAAGTCACGATAAAATTTTAGAAAGAAATTCCACGAACTTTTGGATCAAGCCTCGTACTTTTATTTTTTGTGATTACGTAAGTTGTACATATTACATGTATATATTGATCATAAAAATGTCTGCTTTTCAAGTTTATTTTGACGCAAAATCTGCATGTCCTTAAGTGCAGTCATCCTGTAATATGAACCTTTACATGGGAATTTTTAAATAATAAAGATATGATAGTAAGCACCAATTTAACATTCAGTTTAGCAGAATTATGGACTTATTAAGCTTGCTTTATTTGCATTTAAAAAGAAAATTCTAACATAAAGCTCTCGATAAGTCGATGTGTTTGAATAAAGTCTCGTACATCAGAACATTTGAATTATTAAATATTGACTTTTTAGAAAAGTACAAATTGATAGAGTTCATTTCACGTGTTTATGTGTATTTTAAGAAGAATCAGTAAAGAAAACTAAATGACCAACGACTTTGTAATTAAGTAAATATTTTAGATCAATTAACATTCTTTTACATGTGTTATAATTTGTTATTTCATTCAACTGTTTAAAAATCAAAAGTCCTCGTCGAAACAATCGTTTTTTATACCAGGCATTTCCTTGTTTAGTATGATTAAAAATGCATGTAATCGATATGTTACGGTGTAAAATACAACATTTTTGGACTTATTTTAAATTACCGTGTAAATTAACTTTTCGGACTTTGTGTAAATTGTTGTCAAAACTTTTCTTATATTTCGGCAAATGTGATAAATTATATAAATTCCGCACAGCCTTAATCCCACCTGAGGCATCGTCAGGGATTGGACAGTTAATTCCTTAATTGACATCTGTTTATATTTCTTGACACTTAATCTTTCATCTTTAATTCTATTATATACATACTGCTAAAATGTCACCATTCGCTCAATAATTGTTTGATACTTGATTTCTATATACCCTTTGTTAATCCTTTTATTTTACTCTTTGTTCAGTATGTATGTTTTGTTGTGAAAAATTATAGTCAGTTGGAATCAGACCTTCGGTGCTGATAGTTCCCAAGCTCATGTAAAAGTTTATTCCATGCCAATTCCTTATATAAAACTACAAAATTGAAACTCGTGCTTGTATCTTGAGGTTTTAAAGAAACTGGGTTCAACAATAAGAGGAAAGCTCACGGTTGAACCAGAATCAGTATAGACGAACAAAATTATCTCGTAAAAGATATATAAAATTTCATTGGAGAAGTGTATAAAAGAAAATATCAAAGAATCATGTTAATAATTTAATGAACCTTAATCAACAACCATGCAAAAAGAAAAGCTATACTGTATAATTTTGCAAAAAACTGCACATTTACATTGTAAATGATAATTAATGAATACATCATTAGATAATGCTGACTTTTATGCAGTACTGGGAAGACTGCTGGTCAAAAGGTCACTGGGAGGGGAAGGAGGGGGTTGTTCCAGTGGTTGCTCTGAGGGGAGCGGTTCAAAAGTTGGTAGAACGAAATTCTCCGGGAAGCGTTGATTCAATGGTAGACCCGTAATGGCGTCAATGGGGGTGTGCCCTCCTCTTGTTGTTAAAACGAAAGGAAACTCATTCATGTTGGGCATCTTTTTCTGTTTTGCCTGGACGGTAGGAATAGCTTCTGTTGTCGGAACTGGAGGGGTCGTTGTCGGGAAAGACATATCTGGAGTTTGCGCAAGAGGATCATTTCCTCCTAGTTCGATATTCTCCGTGGCTCCTTCGGTATTTTCCGTCATTCGGTCGACAACCGGGATCTGTTTCTGCCTTCTTCCTGCTGCAGTGGCAAAGGGAGATGACTCGGTGGGTATTCCTAATCCGTTGACAATTGGCCGGACATAAGACGGCTTAATAACAACACCTTGCGCCTCGAGTTGTCGAATTCTTCCAATTACCGATGGATACCTCTGACGAATTAGAGCCGAAAAATAAAATCGCCCATTACGAATTGTGTAGATCGGAAATGCTCGACGAACGAACTGATTTCGGAAATTTCTAGAGACGACATGAATGACAGGCATGCGCAGGATCATTCCATTTCCCTGTTGAATATTCATGAAGTTTATCCGGGGCATTGGGGGTCGTAGAAGAGGATTGGCCCCATTTAATCGATATTGTGGTTGTCGATTGTTATTACTTTGCACTCTGGGAAGCTGAGGCGTTCCTTGATCAACTCGTTCCGGAAAACCCGTCGCATCTTGCTGTATTTCTGATTGTATTTCCACCACTGCTTGGGGAACATCTATTGTTTCGGATAGCTTTGGATTTCTTTGATCTCTGGTCAAATCTCTAGGAATCTTTGCATGGAGTGAGTTGATGCCTGAAGATCAAGAAAATTGATTATTTTTTTTAATACCTTTTCATCTCTTATGACTATTAAACGACGTATACAGTTAAAATGCGGTACAAATAACATTCAAATTTAAGATACATGCATGCATGTCACATTAATTTTGAATCGTTTATTTCACTCACTCTCTCTTAAATTCATACTAGTAAGTTACATTTCAGAATGAAGTTAAAAAGTCAGCAAAATTTTAGGAAATTTCCTCGAGTTTTCAACAGATATTGTTATTTTATTTTTCAGAACTTCCAAATTGGTTAATACTTCACAAGATTTCTTACTCCCCCTCTCCCCCATGGAGGCATGATAGGCAAGGTTAAAGTCATGTTATACCTCATCTTATTTTCCCATATGAAAGTACTAAGCCCAGTTTGTACGTGGATTAGTTAAGTGAGCTATTTCAAGCTTCGAAATTACTATTTGTTTGAGAACAATTTGGTTACCTCATTTTCTATTCAAGATCAGCTTAACACTGTTTTATGTAATAATCAGATACATATACAAAATTTAAATCCTTAAATGAATAATACCCCCGGTACGATATTCCAAGTAAATTTTACATGTCATTATAAAACAGTGTTTGTGATATAAATGCCTTACAATTTCTTGGAATATTATGAATGTACAGTTTACTTATATTTATAGCGAGAGACACATTTTATGATTTTTTTTTCCAATTAATGTTCTTTCAATGTTAAGCTTATAGCTTACACGTATAGCATGTACTTCGAACTCTGAATGAATTGAAAGCGATATTACATTTTTAGCAATCTCAACACTTTCCAAAAATATCATAACGAAATTCTCATTATATTCTCTGTTCATACGGTAAATCTTTGCCACTTTTTCATTTTAAAAAATCCAATCAGAATTGAAAAAAAAAAAATGATTCTGCAATTCTCATGGCTTACCGGCGTTCCAGGGGACACATCTACAGAATTCTGCAGAAAACATCAATCCTTTATCGCAGCACATGATTCTTTGTACAGCTCTCTGTCTTATATTCGTATAATAACACTGTGGACTTCCCCTCACCACCATATTGCTACATGGCAAGTTAGCCAAAAGTGACGAAAGCTGTAAAACTTCAGCCGCCATTTTATATGTCTAATTTAAATTAAAACTACTTTATAAAAGAAAGACAAGAGAACATTGCATTATTTATATACAGTGTTAGGTTCAGGCTTCATTAGACTCGCATGACTTCCCCTGGAAGTTGAACGGATTATTTGACGCAAAGAGGTACTTCCTGCGAAGTCAGCTATTTACGCATGCGTGATGATAAATGAGATACAAAGGTCTTGTAGTCTTTGACTTATAGGTGATTGCCCATTTCACGATCTGTCAGCTTTACGTGTAATTAAGATTGATAATTAAGTTTGGGCCATTTGTGTGAAAAAGTACGCACCTGTTTTTTAGGGATTCGGCAATCAGTCAAAGTCTCCCACGCCTTTTATCAAACCAAAATTCACGTACATTCTCTTTATATACCAGCATGGCGTGCATTACATCACTTGTGTGTTTTTAAATGTTTTGCATTTGATAGGTTACATTTATTTTGCATAATCAAATATGATTTGTTTGTTTGTTTGTTTGTTTTTTTTGTTTATTTATTTTCTAGTGGATTTCTTTCTGCCAAAAAACAAGACGTCCTATTTAAAAAACAGATAAGTGTGTGTGTGCGGTGAAATGGTTGAGTGGGGTGATTGCTAAAGTTTGGTTTGGGTCTCGACAACAAGATGAATAACAACATCTACATGTATGTAGTTATACTACCATCAAACTTTTTTTGTTTATTTGGACATTTTTCCCTAAAACATGTTTGCCGAACTGTTTCCGTGGTAAAAACTTATTCACGCCCTACAGCCAGCATTGGAGCTGCACAGTTTAATAATTACAGCTTTTTATTAATTAAAATAAAGACTTATTGGAGATACATGTATCATGTGCATGTGTTTGTTATTGGAGTATGGAGTATATATATACATAAATTAGTGAGTAAGAACCCCCCCCCAGCTGCAATATAACAAACCATTTGCTGGCTACCTCAAATCGGATTACATAGTGTGTGCACCAAATGAAGTCGTTTTGTACAGTGTTTTTCGTGTACGTGGGTTATAGATGTGTAAGGAAAAGGCAGACAGGCGTTTATTGTGATTATTAAAATATTTGCAAAAATGTGAAAGGTTTACAAATTACATGATTTTTTTTTATAAAGTCTAAATTTTTTAAAGATTATATTATAGGCTGTATGAACACAACTTTGCAGGATTTCCGGATCTTAGACTGTCTTCACTCGGAACTCCTCGGCCAAGAATTGTCATGTAAAGTCTGTCAACTTCTCTCAAAGCCTCGTATTGCCTATATCTCATTTTTTTAAATGATTTTCGCATTTACTTTCACTCACTCACACATAGTTCACGCTCAGCATTCTATAATTGTTTATGTCTGTATATCTCTTATAGACTTGAGTAGCCTACAAAACAGAGACTGCAACTGAACAATTAAATGAAAGGATTTTTCCAGCAAATGAATTAACATTCTCATTAAAAATTGACTTTTCTCCAAACAAATATTGATTATGGAGGCCCAAGGAAAATAAATAAACTCGTGAAATGCACAGCTACGGCCAAATTTAAAGGAAAAATAATTGATCAAGTTCTTACATTCTGTAATTCTTTAAATCCCAAAATTAGATTAATTTCTAGAATGACTTACTATGTCAATAAAATATTTAAACAAAAAAGGGCGATACTGTTTAATTTAACATTAGTGTTAAACTTCTCTTCACAAAACAATATTAAAAAGCTGCGAATTTGAACACTTAGTTTTAAATAGCCCAATCGAGAATTTTTCGAAAGAAGGAGAAAAAATAGCGATTTTTAAGAATGGAATTTCGGTCTTTTCAGGAATGGCAAGGTAATTTTAGTAATTTCAATACTTCCATACAATTTATTATTAATATATTTTTAACCTTGAAAGTGTTTTAAGGGTATGTCCAAAGATTTTGCATGTTCTTTGTATGCATTGTCAAATGTTAATTTTGATAGGGACCAATGATCTGACCAAAAATCTAAATTAAAGATGAAAAAATATTTAATTGGTACGTTAAATTAACATCGATGATACATTTATAAAAGAAATTGATATGCCCTTATAAATATCTTTCTATATATTTATTACTAATTTAAAAAGTACAACAAAAGAAATGTTTATTACATCAGCTAACAATTTCAATGTTGACTGGTATCCCGGTCCAACTTAAGAATTGTTAGACTGCAACTGTACTGCTACGTCACAAGTAATAATTAATCATCGTTCAATATCGGCGACACTAAAATAGCCTACATGTAGGTTTAGAGCTGCAAGAGTCAAATGTATATTTGAATGGTCAAAAGTGCAGGATTAAAAAGGCTCACCAGATGTAACAGAGAAAGCTATTAAAAGGACGGATTGAAAATGTAACTAGAGGTACTGTGAGCAATGAGCTCACTAAATGATACCCCCGCCTCCCATATGAATATAATGGCAGTGTCCATGTTTTGCTCTGGAAAATCAAAAATATATGTCAGATCAAAAAGTAAATTAAGGGGTGCACAATGGCAATATGTAATTAAGAATCTGTGAAAGTTTCATTAAATTTCCTTCAGTGGTATGAGAGGAGTTGCGAATAAGAGATGGGTACCCCAAAGCGTAACAGACGGACGGACGGAAATACCGAATACTATATACCCTCCCACTTTTCAAGCGGGGGGTATAATAAATCTCTAGAGATGTACATACATGTATATATAATATCATCGAGGGTGCTGTGATCGCTAAAATTGAATATCGCAAAAAATAAATTGTGTTTTATTTGGAATAGCTTATTTGATTGATTGATTGTATGTTGTTTAACGTCCCTCTCGAGAATTTTTCACTGTAATGGAGACGTCACCGTATTCCGGTGAAGGGCTTCAGATTTAGATCTACACTTGGCACTCAGGGCCATTGAGCAGTGAGGGTTCTTAATCATGCCAATGTATACCGTGACACGGGACCTATGTTTTTTAAGGTCATATCCCCAAGACCCGTGACTTTCACTTCTAGTGCCGAGCGCTTGGCGAAGGAACAGTCACTGCCTATGTTTATGTCTTAGGTATGACACGGCGCCGCGAACGAGAATCGAACCCGGGCCTCCCAATCACGGAGCGCACGCTCTACCACTAAGCTACCGTGATCGGTGAAATAGCTTATTTAAAATAGCGTCCTAAGTGAGCATTTTGAAATCGCTAAAATTATGAAATTATACCAAATTAAAGGGAAGATCGCTAAATTAGCGAGTATCGCAAAAGTTTTCCTTCTTCCCCCAAATATTTCATTCCAGTAAATTCTCCACCAACTCTTTCCCCACTCTTTTTCTCCCCAATTTCTTTCTCTCATCTCTCTCCCCACTCTTCCCCACTCTCTCTCTCTCTCCACTCTCGATCTTTCTTTATCACTCACCCATTTCTCACCCCATTCTCCCCACTTTCTGTCTCCTCTCTTTCTCTCACTCTCTCACCCCCTCTCTTCCCTCTCTCACCCCCACTCTCTCTCTCTCTCCACTATCTCCCCACTCTCTCTCTCCTCTCTCTCATTCCTCTCTCCCATCACCAGTTTTTTATATTCTCTCTGAATACCTCTCTCAACCCTTTCTCGCACCCCACTCCTCTCCCTCTCTCCTCTTCCTCTCTCCTCTCTTTTCCACCCTCCCCTTAATCTCCCCCTCTCTTTCTCTCTCTCTCACCCACTCTCTCCTCTCTCTCTCTCCCCACTCTATCACCCCACTCTCTCATTCCCTCTCTCTCTCCCCCTTTCTCTCCGAACCCTCCCCACTCTCTCCCCCCACACTCTCTCACCTTTGGTTTTTTTTTTTTTTTTGACTCAGTTTTTTATATTTTGTGAAATTGGGTTAATCCTCCAAATCTATGTTAAGTATAGCAAAATTAAGCCATTCTTTGGTACTTCCGGTTTGACCGGAAGTGACAACGACGGACGGAAAATTAATATTTAAGCTTCTAGTGAGACATGTTACCCAAAAACCTGTCAAAAACGGTAAAAATATGCATTTTCTGACTACTTCCGGTTCGACCGGAAGTGACGTCGCCGGACGTATTTAGACGACCCCATTAGATAAAGCTTGATATTTTGAACAACTTTGCTTCTTTGATGCATAACAAATTCTCAATACTTTTTGAGATATCTGGAAAAAACTTTTGGCCCCTCTAGGTCCCTTAATTTAGGGGTCAGCCCTTTTTTCGACATATCATTTGAAAGATCTTCTAATTCTGCACAAATTATGTTCTATATATTTTAACAAAATATTTTTAGTTTAGAAGATAAAAAGCAAAATATGAGTAATTTTTGGTTCTTTTAAGCGTTCTAATTTTTGACCCCTATATAGCGCCATTTTGAATACAGAAATCGAAAAACAAAAACCGATGTGCACAATTTCAATCCTTTTATTATCTAAAATCAGTAGAATTTCCGCTCTATCTTTAGCCGTCTCTGAGCCTTTGTCTGGAAACGAAAGCCTATAAATTTTCCTTTAAAGGGAAATAGCTCAAAACCAGAAGTGGCTTTTTGAAATTTTAGACATTATTCTGATAGAGTTTATTTACGTCTATAACGTCTGAAAATTTGAGCGAAATCCGTTGAGAAATGAGCGAGATATGAGGCCTAAAAGTTGCAGTCTAGGAAGCAGAAGAAAAAAAAGAATAATAATCTTTACCAACAGAATCAGTAGAAGGTCTTCCGTTGGAAACGGAAGACCTTAATAAACCTTAGCAGTCGTATTTTTTGAAATGTTTTTTTTATCAATTTTAGTTGCCATGAAAAAAAATGTCAGTCTTTTTTATAAGATAACATTTGAAAGGAATCAGTATTATCAGTGAAAAACTGACAGCCAAAAAGTAAAAATTGTTCTTCGGTAAAAGTGTTGGAGGGGGTCCCTATATCCGCTCTTACCCCCTCACCCGAAAATATATTATATTCGCTTATGTTTTGTTCACATGAAAAAAGTCAAAGTCGTCTAAATAGCTTTCCAAAACAATTTGTATCAATTTGGAATTTCCCGATCTATTTTTAGATCAATGTGAAGGAAATA